AAGCGAGAACGCTCATTGATAGTCGAGCAAAATAAAATGTAATGTAATGTTGAAGACAGGATGGCGTAGTGGTTTGTGTAACGGACTGCTATTCTAATGGTCGCGGGTTCGATTCCCGCTCAAGTCAAACATTTAATGTTTGATTTGGTCTGGGTGTTTCTATGTATAATATGTATTTAATTACAAAAAAAAAGTATGCATGTATTTATATCAGTTGTCTAGTAGCCATAGTACAAGCTCTGCTTAGTTTGGGACTAGATGGCGTTGTGTGAATGTGGTAGAATATTATAATATTAATGAGATTGTATTATTAAATTAGTTTTTTTTTTCATACTTTCGTTATGCAACTATAGGTATATCTGCACTTGAATTCTAAGACGTCCAGTCCGATAGCGGTGACAGATATGACTATACCCGTGACCGTCTTAAAGCTACTCTGTACACAACATTCTATGTTTTAACTTAATGATGAGTTATAATTTTCTTTTAAATATTATATTAAAGTATTTAGTTGTTAGTTAAGAGAAATAAGTTACCTGTATTTTCCTTTAATTTAAATTAAAAAAAACGGCAACTCCTGCAATTTTAGAATTTCAAAGTTACCGTGATTTGTAGGTATTAACCGAACTGTTGCTACACTAAAGTTACACTAGTTCAGACAACGGGGCTAACAACTGAACTACTGCTAATAGAAACTAGCCTTGGTTTAATTTGAATGTCATTTATGTTTGCAAAATATATATAGAAGAGAAGAGATATATATAGAAGAGAAGCGAGCCACGATCCGGGGACCTTTATGGAAAGAGAAAGAAGACGGCGATTTACATGCGTCTCTCTCGCACCTGTTCGTCGATTTGTTGTCGCCGTCTTCTTTCTCTTTCTACCGACGTCGCTCTTCTACTGATAATCCCATACCTTCTCCCCTTATCTCTATGGTTGTTACTCTAAGAATTATGACTAAAACAGCAGTAGTGTTAGTATTCGTTTTATTTACGGTATAGGAAGCAAATGCGTGCTGACGGATTAAGAATACGGAGTGTCGTTACCCCTATTCATCCCGTGGGTGTCGTAAAGCCGACTACAGTCGTCACAAAATAAGAAGCCCGCTTTGACATTTGTCATGGTGGCGTAACTAGTGATTGTTATAACGACTCGGTGCACGATACTTACGATAAATCGATTCAAGCTTGTAAAGTATTTGATTGATTTGACTATATATCACAAAGTGCATTGGATTTAAGTTATAATTAGAAGTTAAACTTTAATGTTATAGGCAATTTGAAATGATACAATGGAAAGAAATGTCAATTTGTCTTTAATTTAAAAATTTAGCTCAATCACAACAAAATCAAGAAAAGTGAAATCAATCATTTTCTTCTGATGACGAGCTAGATGAGCTATCGTCGCCTGTAAATATAATATAATTATTTCATTTTCTATAATATTATCAATATTGACGTCTCTATCATAATCTGCCTTTATTATTTTTCGCGTCTTTTGTACCACTTTTGCCCAATCTTCTTTAGTTATTTTATCACAAGCTTCTTTTAACAATGTCATCATATTCTTAGTGGAGAACGGTGGCTTTGTATTATGACGTGCTGCGTATCCTTTGACCTGAGCCCAGATTAATTCAATAGCATTGTACTGACAATGGTACGGCGGCGTTCTTATCAATTTGTGACCATGTTGAAGTGCCAATTCATCGATTTTATATCTTAATTTTGCAGGTTTATTTTGTTATACTAATTCCAGCAGTTCAGCTATCAATAAATTCATGTCAGCTTCTACGCCTTTTCTTTGTAACCACGCCACTAAATCTGCCTTTTTGCTTGCTTGAGTAGGTGCCTTATCTATTTGAACTGAATGGTAAGGTGCATTATCCATAATTATTGTGCACTGTTCGGGGAGGTTTATTAACAACTTAGTAAACCACTCTAAGAATTTATTTGCATCCATTTCTTCGTGGTATTCTTTTGTACTTCTGGACTCGAATGCGACTAGAGCATCATGCACAAAACCTCCCGCGGCTGATCCGGCATGGCAGATTATTAGGCGTCCACCCTTACCCATTGGCTTTTTTGAACAAGATGCCTTGGTATCACCCGTCCATGACTGTGGCACGATATGATTCGAGTTCAGCCAAGTTTCATCGATAAAAATGACATTATCCCAATTTGTAATTTTGTTCATTTGCCTCAAGAATGATACTCTGTGCAAAATTATATCATATCGTTCCATCATAATTGCTTCATAATTGTTATTAAAGATGTTGCACTGCCACTAAACAGGCCAGACTCTCTTAGTGATACCACCAACTTACTTACAGTTGGGTACTCACTTCTCGTGTAATGAGCATATACGTGGTTTCGAATAGCATCTGCGTCAAATGTGTCAATACCTGTTACAGGCTTGCTTGTCTTCCTCTTCTTAGGCGTATGTAACACATTTTCTTCAGTACCGGAAGACCCATACTTTTCCTTCAAAATGGTTCGAATAGTTTTTTTGTCGATTCCAAGTGCTTCTGCTACGCGATCTGGCACTTGAGTTACGGGTAATAGTAGTAGTAACGGTCGAAGTATTCGGTTAACTTCACAACCAATTCGCGTGATTGGCTGTTGATTGTACGTCCTCTTTTCGACATGTCGAAACAGAGTTTGTACAATATAACAACAAACACCAAAATCGAGTACAAATCGCTATGTCTAATCAATGTCCGGAATAGAAGAGCCAAGGTCAACGTGATAGTAAACAAAAACTGTCCAAAAGCAAGTCTAGCAAGTAATGCATATAACGAAGATGATCGAGACTTTTCACAAATTTCGGAGCATTATAGACTGCCAATAAGGTTTGAGTTCCACTCTCTAATAATCTCTGGGCCGAACAATTTTTATTTATAATCATTGATTTATCGATAGTTCATCAACTATATGGCGCGTTTTCGACCGGAAGCACCGGTTGACCTGAAGTGATGCTGTGACCGCGCGCTCTCCGCCCTCTATCTCTAAAACGGTTCACCGTATAAAAAATTTTTTTAAACAAAATTTGTAGAGAATTTTGTATTCTACAATATTGATAATGAATACAAATAGCAGAAACCCATAGGAAATGAGATATTTCCAGAAAAAGCGCAATAAACCGATTTTTGTGACTTTTGACCTTGAAATTTAATAGTTGCTTACACCCTACCATATATAGGTTTTGAGACAACTTTTAGGGTGTCAATATACAAGTATTTACAGACTTACAGCTGGGTATCTCGAATTCCGAGGTGAACTTACTAAAATGACTGGACTATGACTTTTAAGGACCGTTGTCAAATGTGACTGTTGCAAAATGAGACATGACGTTTAAGATAGAAAAATGAGGTGAATTTTTTTTTAACAAAATCATTTAGTATAATATCAAAATATTCATATTAAATATCAAAACAAAGCTAAAACTATATGAGATCAGATTTCGTTTTTATATGTTTAAATATTAAATAATACAATTACACATTTATCTCTTTTTTTAATGTAATTTTTGTAAACGATTTTCAGAAACTCTATTTTATTCGGCCATAAAACGGCTTTTTAACGGTTACATCACTACGGCAACCAACCCAAAGACATGACATTGTAGTAAAGTCCTGTCGGAATATTAATCAACGATTAATTCGTGTTTTTGAGTGCATTTTTTCAATATAAAGTTAAACTTGATGCTTATTTATGATACGCGTTGTGATAGTGTGTTGATTTTCAATTTCTTACATAGACGTTCATACAAAGTTATCGTAGCATGTCAAATGAGAAACGTCAAAACGGGCTTCTTATTCAGGCGGTACAATCTTAGTCGACAATCCTTGGAATGTTACGAAAATAATGAAACCAAATACAATGGTTTTTTATTTGTTTTAAAGTTTTAACAACATTACGTACACTTCATTTAGGCGTATAATACGTGTGTACGTCATGTAATTTCGCCAGTCGATACTTATAGATGTCGTTACTTTCGGTATAATCCGCATAAAACATAAAGTTGTTTTAGTTTTTATTATTCCGGAACGTACACTATTTTCTGAAATCATTATAAAATGACTTTTGGAAATAAAATGTTGCCATTATTATTTTTATACATTGAGTTGGTAGTTATTTTGTATGATAAAATTGATAAATGTAGACTTATAATAAAATTTTTGAAAACTTTAAAAAATTTTTAGCACTTTAAAACTAACGATTCTAAGAAATCCTAAATTAGTGCCTGTATCATTTCATTATTGGCATTGTTTTGGTACTTTTCATCAGCGTTAATGCAGCAACATACAGCTGTTGTTATGAATGTTGTCCGTCAACATGACATTCATACCGGCATTTTTTTGGTGGTTGAATGTTTACTTGCTTGGAACTAAAAACAATTATTCTCTGATATCTTCATACATGCGTGAGTTGAGCCTAGGTTCTTCTGATCTTTGTTGAGGTTATCCTTGTGTGTTGTTTTCGAGTAGTATTGAGGTAGAGACACTTATTTTTAACGTTTTATTTTTGTGTTGCAATGTCTGTTAAACGTTGTTGTGTTCCTAAGTGCACGGAAAATGAAGGTAAGTTTATTGCTATTACTAATAACTGATGATAAGTGAAAGATTTACGTAGACAGTATAATATCCTATAAATTGAAAGGCTGGATCTATTTCTAATCTATAGTCTAAGATGTTTTTATATGTCGTCTAATTCTTATTATAAAAAAATATTCTTTAGGCAATCTCGATTATTAAAACCCACATAAGAATTAATGTAAAGTCAGTAAAGTAGTATTAGTTCATACGACATACTAAAATGTTGCAAAAACATATTGTTTTATAAGCAAATTACGCCAGCGAGTGATTTAACTTTAACCCTTTTGAACATTTTTATTTTAATATACAAATAACATATTTATTGGACCGTAAAGTTATTTTTTACAGAAATTTATGACAACAAACTATGTATCTTATAAATTATAGCTCGTAGAATGTAACAAAAATGGACAAACCAGGTAATACTTTTGGTTAGTACTAACATCTATACTAATATTATAAAGCTGAAGAGTTTGTTTGTTTGTTTGTTTGTTTGAACGCGCTAATCTCAGGAACTACTGGTCCGATTTGAACAATTCTTTCAGTGTTAGATAGCCCATTTATCGAGGAAGGCTATAGGCTATATATCATCACGCTAAGACCAGTAGGAGCGGAGCACCAATGAAGAATGTTTCAAAAATGGAGAAAATTTATTACTATTGAGAGACGCAGACGAAGTTGCGCGGGTCAGCTAGTACTACATAATGTTCGACATTCTTTTATTCACTGATAATAAAAGTTAGGCACTTTTATGATTATTACTGAAAATTGATGACTTAAACCATTATCGCAAGTTTAGAATTTTTCACACATTAATTTTTGTTAGTAATAGATTTAATGATAAATTACTGCCCAAATCAAATATTAAAATCATATAGTTAACTTGATCATAGTATAACTTACAGCATAAACATTTAGCTTCAAAGGGGTTAGCAAGATTACAAAAGTTTAAAAATGGTCGAATTAGCACTAGGCAGCACTCAGGTAGCACTCAACAATAATAAGAAGGGAAAAAAATGAATAGTTGTAAAATTTTCATTGTATGTTAAGTGCGTTATAGTCCAGAACCACGATGCATATATTGCTGTATTAATGCCGCATCATATTGCATCCAAATCAAGTAATCCAGTTTCTTGTAAGAAAATTTTTAACTGTCATGAATGTTGCTGTCAAGGTATTATTTTAATTTAATTTAATATAACATCACATTTATAGCATGTATAAATATTTGATGGAATAATGCCATAATTATGTTTACACAAGAGCAAGTTTTTTTTTTAAATTATGATACTAATAAAAATATGCTTTCATCAATCATCATCAACAGCCTTTAACAGTCCACTGCTGGACATAGGCCTCTCCTTAAAAAGAAGGTTTTGGCCTACTATACCACGCTGGCCAGACGGGTTGGTATAGGGTTTGTGTCAAGTTTTCCTTCTCTCTGCAGTGCTGTTGTCCTGCGTATTTCGCTCCCTTAGTCGCCTCTTACGACACCCACGGGATGAATAGGGGTGGTGACACTCTGTATTCTTAATCCGTCACCACACGGACATGCTTTACTTAGTGGTTTTTTTAAGATGTTTATTTTTTCTCTTTAGGGAGATCCAAAGTACTTCATCTCTTTCCAAACCCTGAAAATGAGGTTGAGAGATTTCGCCGGTGGGTCAGCATCATTGGTGGAGATATTTTAGGACTTAGTAATGAAGATATCTTCAAACATCGGCGAGTTTGTCATTCTCATTTTGAGGAGAAATATTGTTGCCGTAACAACAGAATTTCTAGCATAGCAGTACCAACTTTACTTATTCCAGGTATGGTTCATTTTAAATATTTAGTTTAAAATAGGGCCTTTCTCTAACAAAAATCAACAGTTTACATGATATTACAGTGTTTATAAACATCTAACCTTTTTTTTTTTCATTTCAGGGCCATTATTTTTTAGACAGTTACCAACCAGCCCTTTAAGGAAAATACAACATATGCCAACTACTTCGCAAGGTATGGTAACAAGTTGTTGTCGATGATAACAGTTTCTCCATGCCAAAATATTAGTGTTCCAGATTTAACACTATCTTCTCCTACCCTAGTCTCCCTCCTATCCTGGTCCCCCCTTCCAAACTCCCTTGGTAGTGATCACTTCCCTATTTTAATTTCATACCTCCCCTCTACTTCATATGTTCCCCTAACCCTACATCCCCTCCTCAAATACAGAGTTTCCCAAGCCAATTGGGAGCAATTTGCAACATCACTAGATCTAAATTTAGCCTCTCTCCCTCAAACAAATTCCTCTAATTTTCTTGTCTTCTATGACCAATTTATCTCTGCAATTAACTCAGCTGCTGATTGCTCTATTCCCCTCAAACTTCCTTCCAGTAAATTAACTGCTTCTCCCCCTTGGTGGGATTCTGAATGTATTGCCAGTGTTAAGAAGCGCAAGCAGGCTGAGAACAAATTTGCTGCATCCCTTTCTATGTCGGTATTCCTCAATTTCAAAAAAATTGCTGCTAGCACAACTAGACTTCTTTCTGCTAAAAAATCTTTAGGATGGCGTTCATTTTGTGAGACCTTGTCTCCTCGCTCTAGTCTCTCACTTGTCTGGAAAAATTCAAGTCATTCCGAAAAAGTCTTGATGTAACAAACATCTCTAGCAATGACCCTCATTCATTCCTGCACGACTTCCTTAGCCAACTGGCTACTCCATATGCTCCAGGTTTCGATTGTTTCCCACCTTCCTATCCGTTTATTCCAGATTCCTCTCATAATACCATGGATGATCCCTTCTCTTTCACAGAACTATCCTTTGCTCTAGATAACCTCCTTGATACCTCTCCTGGCAATGACGGTATCCCTTACTCTTTTATTCGTAAATCCCCCAATTCTTCAAAAATTTTCTTCCTCAGTATCCTCAACGCCATCTTTTATTATGGTCAAATACCTGAATCTTGGAAGACCCAAATTGTCATTCCTGTTCTGAAACCTGTTAGAGATCCCAGAAATTCGTCTTCCTATCGCCCTATTGCGCTCTCCTCAGTACTAGCTAAAATATTGGAGATCTTAATTAAATTCAGACTCGAATGGATTCTAGAACACAAGGAATTATTTGCCAAAAACCAGTATGGGTTTAGAAAAGGTTTAGGCACATTAGATCGCCTCAGCATCCTCACCTCTGAAATCGGTGGGAATGTAATCGGTGTTTTCTCGGACACCTCTGCAGCCTATGACAATGTACATCTACCTCTTCTCAGCCAGAAAATGCTACATCTGAGTATTCCAGCGAGGATGGTTCACGTCATCTTCGTCATCAAGGTTCTTTTCTCTCTCCTCGTCTTGTATGGAAGGGCCTTTCGCAGGGTTCAGTGCTTAGTCCCTTCCTTTATAATATTTATACTTTCGACCTAGACCGGTCTGTCAGTTCTTTTTGTAAAGTTCTTCAATATGCTGATGATGTTGACATATATTTTTCGTCATCTTCCTTCTCTACTGCCACTTCCCGTTTGAATTTCGCTCTGTATCATTTAAACGTTTGACTATTGGACCACAATCTTTCTCTGTCTGTTTATAAATGTGGTGCTCTTGTTTTCTCTCGCAAACGTAATATCCCTGATATCAACCTTTCTGTAGCAGGCGAACTAATTCCAATAAAAGATTCCAGTTTTTAGGCCTCATTCTTGATTCTAAATTATCTGGTATTCACCATCTAAACCAGGGATGCACAGACTTATTAAGACTAGGGGCCACTCGGGCAAATTATGAACTGATGGCGGGCCGCCAGAAGTATAGGTAATTAAAGACAATAAAGAATTGATAAATATGTATTAAAATTGAAAAAGAATTTATTAATTTGAAGCGTGGCACTGCATAGTGCTTATAATCTTTTTTATATTTGGCTCAAATTTACTTGTAGCAACACGTAAAACTGCTTCCAAACTTTCATTTGCAAGGCGGTTTCGATTTTTTGATTTATTATTATTTAGTATTGAAAAGGTTTGTTCACATATATAGGTAGAACCAAATAAGCTGGCACATTTCAGAGCGTTTATGCGGAACTCTTTGTACGTATTTTTATCAATGCAGCGGTAAAAGTTCAGCAAGTCTCCTTCGTTGAATTCGTTGCGTAAATCTTGGTCGTTTTGAATGTCGATAATTTCTAACTGCATTGACTCTGGCGCATTTTCAACTGAAATCGTGAAAGGATTCTTCGAGCAATCGGGAATTCGGGACTATTGCTATCTCGCTTGCTCTAACAATATAACCCGTAAAACCGCGGGCCGCGGTCTGTGCATCTCTGATCTAAACCATGTTATTAAAAAGAGCGAGGGGGGTGTGAACGTTATGCGGGCCTTATCTGGGGTCCGCTGGGGCTCTCACCCCTTTTGCCAAAAACTTTTATACAATGCCATAGTTCGGAGTCACTTTGATTATGGTTCTTTCCTTCTGGAACCATGCAATAGAGTTGCTCTGTCTAAGCTTCAGCTGATCCAGTCTAAGTGCCTTCGAATCATAACTGGTGCTATGAAATGCCCTCCACTGAATGCCCACCAAGTCGAATGCTTGGAACGTCCCCTTTATCTTCGCTGTCAATTCTTAGCTGACAGATACTTCTTTAATGCAGTCCAAATTAATTCCCATCCCCTTCTTCCAATTCTGTCTCAAGTTTCTAGTCTGGCCACTATCTCATTGTACTGGAGAGAGTCCCTCCCTTTGCTCCCTAATTCCCTTATGAAAATGAAAAATCTATCTGATCCTATCTTTCAATCTTCTTTAAATCCTCTTTTTGAGCTCGACTATAATTCATCATCACTAAAAATCATCCTTGACTTTGGCATCAATAAACATTCTGCGGCAGCCAACCAAAACTTTCTCCACATCATTGCGGAGGATTGGTCTGATTGGGTTACGCTTTATACAGATGCATCAAAACTTTCTTCAGATGCATTTGTTGGTTCTGCAGTTTGGATTCCTAAATTTAAAATTATATTAAGTTATAAATGCTCTTCCTACAACTCTATCTTTCCAGGAGAATCTATTGCCTTATTGGAAGCGGTCTCCTATGTGGAATCTCATAAGCTTGATAAGTTCCTTATTTTATCAGACTCCTTGAGCTGCCTACAAGATCTTTTAAAAGATCCTTTCAAAGCTCGCAATAATTTCCCTATAATTCTTAATTTAAAAAAATCTACCTCCCACCCAGACGTTGGAAAAATCATCGACATCCGATGGAGCCACTGAATTAAAAGAAGAAGAAGTGTTTACCTTTCTAGAAAAGTACATATATGGAGAAATTGATGTGATTGTAGTCTACATCATGTTCAGGCGAAAAGTTGCTGACTATAGATTTATTTTACGATTAAACAATAGTGTATGTAGTATTATTGACGGATTCATTTGAAAGCAATGCCACGCCGTTTCCTACTACGCCGAGTGTTGTGTGTTCAAACCCCACATGGGACGACACTTTGTGTGATCCACAAATTATTGTTTTGAGTCTGGGTGTTCTGGGTTTTATGTATGTTTGTAAAGTCTTCTTAAAGATTATATTCTTAATCTGGGGGTTGTCTTTAAAAACAAACATAAAAATATTTTGTTTTCTTACGACATACGGTTCCGCGCCTTGAGCCTCCCCCTCAAAATGAGGAGGAATTGCTCACCACCAGTTTTCTGCGAGTCAGGCCGATGGATGGCTCTCCCACAGTTTGGCTAGTTCATCAAAACCTCCCGACATCTTTCCAATGTAGGTACAGTCAGTTCAGAGTTAATCAGTCTGAACTTTCTTAATTTTTTTATTTTAGCACAAAATTTACCTGCAAAGGATTTACCAACCCAAAAAACCGATATTCAATATGCGCCACCAGTTATAGCAGCCGAGGAACAGGAAACAGAATCAACATGTAGACAGGTTAAAAATAAGGAATACTGGAAGTTAAAGCTGAAGCATATCCTCCACAACTCCCAGTTCTGTGGAGTCTGTTTGGAGGCTGACGTCGACATGAACGCCCTCACCGATGAGTTTGAGATCAGTGATGATGAAAGGACTTATAGGAGATCTCTAAGAGATATTGTAGATAAGATTTTTAGAGAGGTGAGTGAATTACAAATTCTATGTAAATTCTAACTTTCAACAAATATAAGTTAAAATGTTAAACTTGTTTTATAAATACTCTGGATATAAAACCTTAACAGTGTCAATATGATTTCGAAACCAGTTTTCTAGAGACAGGTGTTGGCTGGTGTTAAGTTGAAGACGTACAGGAAGACGCATCAATGCGCGTGTAATATTAACAAATCATGCATAATTTAAGTACTGATTGCAACAAGTCTTATGGACTCCATACTAATATGGAATATTGAGGTATTTGTGGTATTAACAGATGATTGTTTAGAGATAGGGTGCACTCACATAATGCTGTGAATATATAATGTTACTTCAAAATAAGAATTGACACATAACATTTAGTCTAGAGGTTAAAAAATATTTCATATTATATGTTGTTATAGAAAGACATTTTGTTTATTTTCAGTGTGGATATTGCCCGGCTAACTCACAAATATGCAACAATTGTACAAAGAAACTAATTCAGTCCTATATATTTATACACAATGCTGAAGAGACATCGAAAATGCTGGATCGTCACTTGGATGAACTGTATACTAAAACTTGCTATGTACGAAACAATTCTCTGAAAGATGCCAACAATACACATTCAAGGATATACAACGTTGTTATTGCATTAGACAATAGAGAGATTGCCGAGAACTTTGAAAGTAGTCAAATTAAAATAGAACTACCAGAAAAGCCAGAGTCACACCAAAATCAAAATGAACGGATTCGTGACAAACGAAAGCTAAGGTGTGTGAGTTGTAATGTGGTCCTACCCTCATACAGAGCTTGGAAAATACACGAGAGAACAGCTCACAAACAGAGTCACAGATGTAGAATATGTCTCCAGAGCTACAAAACACGACGCGCCTTGACTACACATTATAAGACGCATTTGAAATCGCGCTGTGCGTTGTGTCACAGAACTGTGCAGGATGGTGAACTGTTGCAACATTTGAAAACGCGCCACAAACACTCGATACACTTATGTACGACATGTAATGTCGCATTTTACTCCGCCAAGGCTCTAGGAAGACATATAAAGGAATGTCATCGTGGAGAGGATTCTAAATGTGTGACGTGTCTGCAGAGTTTGACGCAAGTAGAGTTGGAGCGGCACCAGTGCAGGTTCAAGTGTCCGGAGTGTGAGGAGGCGCCTTGTATCCATCACCGGCATCTGATGTGGTACAGAGAGCAGATGGCGAACCTCGCCCCCAGAGCCAAGTGTGCGGAGTGTCGCTACGTGTGTACAAGTAAGGACGCGCTCGTCGCGCACGTCAACAGACAACATTTGAGTCTCCAGCCTCACCGCTGTGCCAGCTGCGGACACGAGTTCTATTGTGAGTCTCATTTAAATAAACATATTTGTACACCTGAGAAAGTCAACGAAGACCTCCACATTTGTCAATATTGTGATAAAGCATTTAGCAGTTTGTATATTTGTAAACGACATGAAAAAGGGTGTGAAGGCGTGCAAAGGAAGTATCAGTGCGATGATTGTCCAGCTACTTTTGATTCCTCAAAAGATCACATGAAACATAGAAAACTTAAGCACGGTAAAGAGGTTGCTTGATTCTAGAGCGAGTTGCTACTGAATATTCAGTTTTTCTAATTTTATATGTCTCGGACTTAAATTCTTCTTCTTTGAAGAGATCGTTCATCTGGTCAGAGAACAGGAAATATAAATTTTCAATTTTTGCTTGTATTAGCGAACGTGAGTCAAGTACAGTCCCTAAAGAATAGGCGACAGCAAGACTCCCATGGCAAGACCGTTGAAGAAACTCACAATATAGCGTTTTCCAGCGCTTTTTAACCTTTTTAAGTAATTGAGAACGCGCTCAGGAGGATTGTGATTGATGGAAACAGCAGAATTTCAGTATCATTGTAGGCTTTCTCAAATAAATAATCTATACGGCGGAATCGGGCTGTTAGGGCATTTGCAACTAGCCTAGCCTTTCGTTAAGCGTTCCAATCAATCATCAATCCATCCACCATTTCATCAATCAGCGACTGCCGCATCAACTCATTCGGGGAATGAAACCCTTTACTGAGTGCGGATCGAAAGTGTACGACGTAACGGGATTCATAGACATCCCTACTAACGGTATAAGGCTGCACTTAATATCGACCGCCTGTTGGAATAGAATACGAACATATGTGACGCATGTTCACCTTGATGTGTGCTAAAAAGAAGTGCTGCTCTAAACGAGAATCATGCATAATCTAATTTACAATTACATTTTCGGAGAGAATTAAGTCTCCCCTACCATGATACCATGAACCTGAAGCAAACTGTCAGCCCGATACTTTGGGACAGTTCAAGAGTCATAAACACAGACACAGACGTGCGTTGACGGTGTGCGAAGTTTGTGGCGTAGTGATAAGTAGGATTCTGTTCAAAAAACACATGATTGCCCATTCTATGGCGACAGTGTCGTGTAAAACGTGCGGCAAATCCTTCCAGAACTTGACTCTACTGAGATATCATCAGAGTGTGCACGTGAAGAGCGTGCCATGTCCTAGATGTAAGAAAGTGATCAGTTCTGCAAAGTTATGGAGACAGTCAGGAATCACCTCATTCGAGACTCTCTAGATTTCCAAGTTGCTGCAATAAATGGTCTATGATATAGAGGTTGTGTTGTTTTTTGACTGAATATCATTATTTTCCTGCCCTTATCCACATTTTATTTGGAGACATATGTAATATTGTAACGTAACTTTAAGCCCGGCTGCCTACCTGACGGTACCTTCCCTGGGGATAAAAATATAATAAAATTTATTTGCAGAATCAGAATAACGTCTAGGTTACATTTTGCATATGATTTTAATTTGTCATTAGTTCGGTTAATTCTTATATAAAGTTTATTACTAAAGGTAACATAAAAATAGTATATGACTATTCTAAAATGTGAAAAGTTGAATAAAAATAGGTAAAAACAAAACTTTTAAAAATTCTTTTGCAGACGGCCTGAGCTAGGTGTGAGGAGACCTGTGTTTCAGGTAGTCGCTTGACTATGTTAGTTACAGGACGTTCATATGTTAAAGTTCTAATAGATTGATAATGTAAATTACTTCAGACTGGTTTGTATACACAAATATATATTACTTATTGTTTAATAACCTAATTGTAGTTAATATTATATCATTTTAAAATTGCTAAGATGTTTTGAGTCTGCGTAATTAGGCTTACCTAAATATTCCCCTACTAGAGTTTGACACTTAGTACACGATACGGCATATATTTTCAAAACTTTGTTTATCTTCACATCACACATCAACAGCCTTTAATAGTCCACTGCTGGACATAAGCCTCTCCTTAGAAAGGAGGTTTTGGCCTACTATACCACGCTGGCCAGACGGGTTGGTAAAGGGTTTGTTTTTTGTTTATCTTATTATATAGATATGGTGCTAAGAAGAGATAAAATTTGTTAATGTACGTATGCGATGTTTAGGGTTTGACACATACAATGTCGTTCCTTCTCCTGTCTAAGAACATAGGATTAAATGGTAGTTCCGCATGTTGTTTTAGTACGATGTGCAATATAAATAACTGTCAGACTGTTAATACTTTGCATTTCAGATAGAGTTGATGAGTAGGGAACCTAAATGGGCGATAGGTGGCTACCTTTAGTATTGCTCTTTGAGCACGTTCAAGTGGGAGTAAACTGATCTTAGCAGCGCCACCCCACGGAGTTATGCAATATGTAAGTATCGACTGACACAAAGCCAAATAGGTCTGTTTTATTACATAATAATCTGCAATACTGCGTAAGTTCTTAAAAATGTATATGAGTTTGTGTACTCTCATGCATAAAAACTCTATGTTTGCGAAAATTTAAATGTGTCAATCGTGATACCTAAATATTTGACATCATCAGTTTTATTTAAAGCAGGTCAAGTGCATGCAATGTCAGCTGATGGACAGGTATGTGCATAAATATTTAGGTTAGGTGTTACAATATTTGTATGCCGCTTTTTAAATAATATTTATTTTGTTTTCTCCGCTTTTAGGGTTCTAAACGGTCAGACAAAACAAAATAAGAAAGGCAATTGGTAAGGTCAATGGACCGGATAGCCAAACCTGTCTTCCTTAATCTGACTGTGCCCCCGTGTGCTCGTTTCCTCCCTCGCCATAAAAAATAAATAAATATAGAAATAAACTTCATTCTAATTCCATCCTTATTTAATCCTGTAATTCTAATTCCTGACTGAGAAGAATTGAAAATGTCCTACAAAAGCGATGGCGAGTTCCCCGTCTCCTTTTCCTGACGCTAATATCAACCAACGAATGCTTCACTATGGTCAGTTGTCTATGGTGTATATTACTAAGATTTTAATTACAAATTCCTATACAGAACAGACCACCTGTCATTCGGATATTAGGATGTCTGGTGACCTCCTTACTTAACTAGAAGGACTTCTAATTTATTTGCTTCTTTTAAAATTTTAACTTCGTATTCTAGGCAAACAGCCATCTTTACATTTACCTGTTGTTAATACTTCCTTGTTTGAAGACCGCCTTTATAGAGCAGATCAGTAGCAACGACCTCGTAAGTTTACATAACCATCAGAAAAGTACCCAAGCGTCTGGCTAATTTACGACATCATTTAAAAAAATATATATTAAGAAGTAAGAAAGATTGAAATAGTTACTTAGCAATCAGCATCTGTGTCCGTGTGGTGACGGATTAAGAATACAGAGTGTCACCACCCCTATTCATCCCGTGGGTGTCGTAAGAGCCGACTAAGGGAAAAAACTACGCAGGACAACAGCACTGCAAAGAGAAGGAAAACTTGACACAAACCCTATACCAACCCGTCTGGCCAGCGTGGTATAGTAGGCCAAAACCTCCTTTCTAAGGAGAGGCTTATGTCCAGCCGTGGACTATTAAAGGCTGTTGATGAATCAGCATCTAGGACCTGTAGCAGGCGTCTATGGGAGGCGGTAATCACTCTTCATCAGGTGACCCGTCTGCTCGTTTAGCGAAGTTAAATATAAAAATAATATTTCGGACATCTAACACACAACGCCATCTAGTTTCAAACTAAGAATAGCTTGTATTATGAAAGCTAGATTGACTGATAGAATACTTATATACTTTTTTTTTGTAAATACATTCATATTATACATAGAAAACACCTAAACTCCTAAACAAATATTTGCAAATCATAAAAACCTTCAGGTCCGACTCGGAAATCGAACCCGAGACCTCTGCATAGAAGTCGCATACGCTAACACTGCACCACTGAGGAAGTCATGTCCTAAAATATGTTTCAATGAGATGACGCTTACGGCAATTAAATAACATCAGAGAAAATTCTGATTCATCAATATTTGGGTTTACGATTTACTTTTAAAACATTATGGAACTCCTGTTACGCAACCTTTTGTATTAACATTCAGTCAAATTTGAGGAAAGATCTATCAAAATAAAAATAAACTAATAAAAAAGAAGAAGGCAAAAAAGATTTGTCCGTATTAATTTCAGAAATGGCTAAATCGATTTTGCCGAGACTACAGATTCAAAACTTTTCACAAAACATTGTAACTTTTGATCTTCAAAAAAGTAAGAAAGTTTACGAGATACTTCGAAAGATGGCGTTAGCTATATAGCATAAACTGAGTAGTGTGTAAACTTCGATCAACGTTGCTATTGTTGATCGAAGTGTGTAAAGTAAAACGATAATTATATTATTATAATGATCTTAACAAATAAGCTGTCGCATAATTTATTTTGGTTGCCAACATAACAGTATATTTGTACATTTATTAAAATATGACATTGGTAGTGACCGAGGAGACCATTAGGCAACACTGATGGAAAAAATTCAATAGCTCCGATCTTTAAGTATTTGTATACAAAATAAAACTTATAAATTAATTATCGCAGCTACTGAATTAATTCCATCAGTGTTAACTAATGGTCTACTAAATGGCCTAAATTACTACTAAAATTTATATTCGTAGTTACTTAATTATATATCTACAGTACCTAGTGAGCTGTGGTAATGGTTCCGTGTGGTGACGGATTAAGAATACGGAGTGTCACCACCCGTATTCATCCCGAGAGTGTCGTAAGAGCCTACTAAGGGAGTAAACTACGTAGAATAACCACACTGCAAAGAGAAGGAAAACTTGAAACAAACCCTATTTTGGTTGCCAACATAACAGTATATTTGTACATTTATTAAAATATGACATTGGTAGTGACCGAGGAGACCATTAGGCAACACTGATGGAATAAATTCAGTAGCTCCGATCTTTAAGTATTTGTATACAAAATAAAACTTATAAATTAATTATCGCAGCTACTGAATTAATTCCATCAGTGTTAACTAATGGTCTACTAAATGGCCTAAATTACTACTAAAATTTATATTCGTAGTTACTTAATTATATATCTACAGTACCTAGTGAGCTGTGGTAATGGTTCCGTGTGGTGACGGATTAAGAATACGGAGTGTCACCACCCGTATTCATCCCGAGAGTGTCGTAAGAGCCTACTAAGGGAGTAAACTACGTAGAATAACCACACTGCAAGGAGAAGGAAAACTTGAAACAAACCCTATACCAACCCATCTGGCCAGCATGGTATAGTAGGCCAAAACCTCCTTTCTGAGGAGGGGCCTATTTCCAGCAGTCCAGGTACCACAGACGACTCAGGCGCCAGAGGTCGCGCAAAATCCTCCATAAGCGCAGTCCTGGGTTGGCAGGTGAGGCCATCTGTCACCCTAGCAGAAGCAGGCCGGGGTGCGCGCTCCCTTTGGGAGCACAAAGGGGACATAGGGGTTCCCACACACGAGGCGGTTGTTGGTCGGTTCGTGTCCGACATAACCACCGGTGGGTGGTATTCGAGATGATTTCCGCACAGAAAAAGAAAACAAAAAAAAAGAAACGTGCAAAAAAGCGTGTAAGCATGAAAAAAAAACTATTTTTTTTTGACATTACAGACACTTCAATTTATTAATTTGTACAGATAATAACTTCACACTTCGGACATAGACCTCTCCTATTGCACGCCACTTCCATCGATTTTGGGCTTCTCGCATCCGGCTTCTGCAAACCATCTTGTGCAAATCGTCACTCTACCTGGCCTGTGGGCGTCCTACACTACGTTTGTCGAGACGCGGTCTCCACTCAAGAACTCGTTTTCCCCAACCGTTTTCGGTTCTGCTACTTATTATTAATACCTAACGATTTTAAAATATAACCATACTTCTATTTAACACGCATACGTTTAAATCAGTATAACGCAAATCTTATAATTAAACAATAATAAATGCAGGTTTGAGGTGCTGTTGTTGTGTCACCTCTGCAGCACAGTAATGACAAAAAGACATTTTAGACGATTTAAAAATAAATTTTACACTTAATTAAGTTTACAGTTATACACCTTAAACACGTAGTAAGAATAGCAAGTCTCTACATTATTATAATACTAATATGTTGGCTAAAGGGGTGGCCGTGGTCCCTGTGGTGACGGACTAAGAATACAGAGTGTCACCACCCCTATTCATCTCATAGGTGTCGTTAGAACCGACTAAGCGAGCAAATTCTTCGGGACATCATCACTGGCCGGTCGGTGAACGGCGGTAGGCACTTACTATGAGGTGACCGAACTGGTCGGTTGCCCCTATGCCATAAAAACACAGAACATATCATGACACAGATAGTAATTAATTCCTTTACATACCATAGCAATTTCTATTAAAATAAGCTTTTCGGTCTAGTATATATCTATTTTTGGGTTTTGGTGTTTTTGTATTTTTATTTTTTATTTTTGTATTTCTACTTTCTACCTGATTTGTGTTAACTTAACATTTGGAACCTATTTGCGAATGACTGTCAATAGCAATGATGTTATTAAGTTTAGTTTTTAGTAAGTATATTTTATGCTGTTGGTATTCCAAAGATAATAATAAAAAAAAAAATACCTGTCCAATTCTTAGTACCCAAATCTTGGTTTTTATAAAAAGACGTAATGATAACGAAAGATGTATGAAAATAAACATTATTACATGTACATATTTGCTAAAACGTAAACATTTATTAGGTGTTTTAATAATGCAAATGTTGCTTCAACATATATAAAGATAACTCGTGAATTAATATGAGTGACAATTAAAAAGTTAAGACTACAAAAATAAAACATAATATGCTTAACATAATAATTATACCGTATGACTTTTTTAACCTAAACTAAACTAAAAACTAGCACTGAAGTCCAAGTGCTAGTTTATTTAATAATAATAATATTCTACCACTTTCACACTACGCCATCTAGTCCCAAACTAAGCATAGCTTGTACTATGGGTACTAGGCAACTGATATAAATATATGTATATATATATATTGTAAAGAAACACCCAGACCAAATCAAACAGAATAAATGTTCATGCACACAAATGTTTAACTTGAGCGGGAATCGAACTTTTGGAATAGCAGTCCGTTACACAAACCACTAAGCCATCCGGTCGTCTAAATCTCATCTACTCGATCGTCACGTACACATTGGTCCCCACTGAAATCTTAACCAATCGCAACGCCAAACGAGCTCGCTGGGCCTCAATTCTGCGATTTTATGTTCACGCCAAGCCACTGTCATACCACTGGCACGCTATTGAGATGCCATCGAGTGGCCATTGGCATCGGTATAAATATCGGTAGTCTACACTAACTCAGTGCCTTTACAGTGGCGATGGAATGGCAGGAGCTTGATCCGTCTGCTCGTCTGAAAAAGATCATGACATGATTATCATCAACACTATTTTAGGATGGAAGAGCTATAGGATTGATAGTTAGATGCGGTTCCACACAGCTCCACTTGATTAACACATTGGCTTAAAAATATTTTTTACCTGACGCCCAATTACTTCCGCCTTACACAACCACCTGCAAGCAACCCAAGTGCGTTTTCTGTTTCTAAATATGCATGTTTTTTTTTTAATTTAGGTACGTCACAATTTGCACTCAATACTATTTTCCTTTTAATAAAACTGTGTCTTATTGTTCAGGCAAGTGTTAAATAATTCTTGTACAGGTAAACTATCCACTACCAGCTGACTCGCTCAATTTCGTCTGCACCTCTCAAAAGGAAAATATTTTCCACAATTTTGCAATATTTTTCATTGATACTCGTCCCCTATTGATCGTAACTCGATGTTTTACTAAATACTTTATGGCTTCCATAATGTGAATACATAGGTGACAACAATTCAAGCGGTAACAATTATGGACCCTGTCGGGCGCAGCACAGTTTGTTTGGGAGAGAGGAAGATAACACAACATTTTGTTTCTAATTTAAATATTTTAGGATAAAATCATGGTAACTATACATGTCATGTATTATTATATTATTAATTATAATCAATATTGTTACTTATATTGGTTCATAATTTTAAAATTGATTGAATAGTGTATAAAAGAACAAAATATTGTCCATTATTTATTATTTTAATTATTTATTAGTTGTTACTTTAATTATTTGATTGAATAATTATAATTAATTCAGTAGTCATAAATATATTATATTATTAGAAAATGGAAGAAAAGAGGACACTATTATTTCATCCTTCTAAATTTTTTATTATGTTTAATCTGGTTATAACAATTATAGAATTTATTATTTTAGAGTATTTTATTTATTTTCCAAGTACTCTTTTACGCTGTAGAAACATTTGCTTATTAGGAATAACTTTAATTTATTAAAAAAAGTATTAAATTTAGTCTCGTTTTTAATGTCAATTGGTAATTTATTATAAACTTTTATAAACTTATATAGGTAGTCTATAGCCTTCGTTGCTGAATGGACTATCCAACAATAAAACAACTTTACAATTCGAACCAGTAGTTCCTGATATTAGCGTGTTCAACCAAACAATAAAACTTTTCAATGTTATGATTTCAGGCAGGTATAGATAACAGAGTAGAAAATTTTTAATTCGAGTAAAACGTATAGATAGATGGCTTTAATAATATGGTACTTTAAATCTTGTTGTATTTATTTATGATAAAAATAAATAAATAAAGTTGATTGTTATTTGATGTCATATTTGAATAACATTATAATCAGTCATAATGTTTAAAGTAAATAGTTTTATCCAATTTTAAAGTAATTTAAACGTACGATACATTTATCATATATATTTTTATTTGTAATTCATGTAGAACATAACGCAAATTGCATCGAGTTATAAACGTCATAAGAATATGTTGCCCCAATAAATTATACCATACCTGAGAATAAGCAAGGCCAACAAAATACTCTCGGTTACACACTTAAGCTTAGACAACCGGTCGTAACGCGCTTGTGAATAAGATAGTTATAATCAGACAGTTTGCAAACAGTGTTCATTAAACAAAGACATAATATTTTTGGAGCAAGTTTTAGTTCGGTGTGATATTTAGTAACTGATCTTCATTTGGATGTGTTCAATGCGTGGTTTTCAATTTAAAAAAGTAGAAATGGAATCTATTTAAAAAGCACAGTATTCCAAATTTAAAATTTTCTTTTAAATGTGTTTTTAATCTGTTTGTAAGAGTTAAATTCATTAATATTTTTTTGAAAGTGCAACACAATATGTGAGCGAACGAACTGAGGACAATAACTTTGTTTCACATATTTTTTGTATTAATTATGTACATATTCACTACACTAATTAGTTAATAATGGTATGTGACTGATTTTTATATTCTCTGAACACCTTGAAATGCTCTGTCAATCTTAAAACTTCCATTTTATCTTTAGTATCCTATAAATATTTGGCGTTAATTATGTCATCTCTATCTGCACTTGTTAAATGTTTTTTTTAATTAAAATCTACCACAACTGTTCATACTTAAACACGTCCAAATGGAATTCTAATATGTTTATACTTTTCTAAATAACAATTCTTGTTTATAAAAGTTTACTGTAGTGAAATAATTTAACTTTAAATCACAGTTTATTTATTGTCTTGAAGTAAACACCCATTTCGAACATTTGCATAAATAAAACAATTATCGATATAGACTCTGTTTGGTTTTACAAAATGGTGAGGAAGTTGGCCACCATCAGCCATAAAGCTCATGGTCAGGTGAAGCATGAAGCGGATCTGGATCAAGCTCTTGAAGTTGCGGGTATGAGACCTTTTTAATTAATGTTTTTGTTGTTCTAGTTCAGTTTGTTGCAATGTTAAAATGCCTTTAAAAAACCGCGATGTTTTGATTTTGGTCTTTTTGCGCTAGATTTAGTCCACCCGTATATATCATAAGTAACTATTTTGTGAGGCGGAAATAGTACTTTTTTCGACATTAAAGTTTTTTTTCTGTATGTTTGACTACCTTCTCTTTCGACCCGACCTGAAAATTTCTATTTCCATCCGGCCATGGAGGATCTGATGATTGTGTCACCCAAGCGAGGCGATCCGCAAAGTTATGCTGCGACCAAGTCCTCAATCGCAGTGCTAAAGGGAAAGGGTCCCGTGCTGGCGTCCCGAAGTATCTGGGGAAAGGAAAAGACCTTATTGAAAGAGATACATGGTGGTGGAGTGATAAGGTACAAAAGGCTCTAAAAGAAAAGAAGGGTGCCATTAAAACGTGGAAAAAATTGAAAGGGGTGTGAGAGAATGAAGGAAGGAAAATGAATGACTATAAAGAGTGGCAGAAAAAGGTAAAAAAAGCGGTAGCGTTAGCCAGAGCTCAAGCTCAGTACAAAATGTTTAAACACCTACATGAACCTAGAGGTCAAAAAGAACTCTACCGCATTGCTAAAAACAGGAAAGAAAGAGCAAAAGACCTAAAGCATGTGAGATGTATAAAAGATGAAGAGGGGAGAGTGTTGGTTAAAGATGAAGATATAAAAGAGCGATGGAAAACTTCCGTTGAAAAACTTATCAAAGAAGAAAATGAATGAAGCGGAGTGCTGAAGGATGTGGATGTGAATGTCGGACTGGTGAACGAGATTAGTATAGATGAAGTTAGATTGGCAGTACAAAGTATGAAAAATGGAAAAGCAGTTGGCCCCGACGGTATACTAGTGGAAGTTTGGAAGTTACTGAAAGAAGACGGATATGAGTGGCTGACTCTATTCTTCAATATGTTGTTGCATGAAGAGGTAATCCCAAAGGAATTGTGTCAAACCCAACTCGTACCCATTTTCAAAAATAAAGGGGATGTTCAGCAATGCAACAACTATCGAGGAATAAAGCTCATGTCATATACTATGAAAGTCTGGGATAAAGTGATTAAGAGAAGAACAAGAGATGAGAGTGAGATAACCCAAAGTCAATTCGGGTTTATGCCAGGACGCGGGACAACAGATGCTATATTTGCAATGCGCCAACTATGTGAGAAATACAGGAGTGCGCACAAAAACTTGCATATAGTGTTTGTGGATCTCGAAAAGGCATACGATAGGGTACCCCGAGAGGTTTTGTGGTGGGCTTTGAAAGAAGAAAGAGTGCCTGTTAAGTATGTAGAATTGATTCGTGCTATGTACAGAGAGTCTAACACTCATGTAAGGTCGGTCACGGTAAACACTGATCAATTTAGTGTCTCTGTAGGCTTACACCAGGAATCGGCTCTGAGCCCATTCCTCTTCCTGTTGATAATGGATGCTCTGACATCGGACATACGGAGGGGGCCTTGGTGCATGCTATTTGCAGATGACATTGTGTTGGTCGGTGAAGATGGGGGTGAGTTCCAGAGCAGACTGTAAAAATGGGAACAAAGACTGGAGAATGTTGTCTTGAAAATCAGCAGAACCAAAACTGAGTACATGTTCTACGATTTCGAGGGTCTCTCCAGTCCAGAAATGATGAGATTGATTAACTGTACAGCATCGAATCAATAAGGGATAGAAGAAGTGGCGTCAGGTAACGGGAACAATTTATGACCCCAGTTTCCCCTTAACACTAAAGGGGGACAAATTTATAAAACTATCAACAGATCTGCCGTCTTGTATGGTTCTGAAAGTTAAGGGAACGAATGAGAGACGCTTGAACGTAGCCGAAACGTGAATGCTGAGATGGATGTGTGGTGTGACTCGGATGGACAAGGTTAGGAATGAGTATATACGAGGGAGTCTGAAAATAGCGACACTTGATAAAAGGTTAAGAAGTAATAGGTTATCTTGGTATGGACATGTCATGCGAAAGGATGAGGAAAATGTGACGAAGAAAGTTTTAGTTATGAGAGTTGAAGGGTACAAGAGAAGAGGAAGACCAAAGAAAAGGTGGATGGACTGTGTGAGTGAGGATATGGCTAGGAAGGGAGTAAACAGTGAGATGACGCACGATAGAGTAGAATGGAAGAATAAACCCCAAATAATATTCCGATAAGGGTAGGCAGATGATGACCTATATCTGTTCTGTTGTAACAAACAGCGCTTAATGTGCTTGAAGTCTTATGACTATGTACCTATATACGTTGATTACCTACTCGTATTGTAAAGCGTGCTTTAAACTGATCAAAATTTAAATTACCTATGTATTGAACTAACCGTGGGGATCAGGCATTGGCTTACTGTTGCAATCCCCTAGATTAAGCAAATTTGTCAGGCTGTCGGTCCTACAAATCTATACTAATATTATAAAGCTGAAGAGTTTGTTTGTTTGTTTGTTTGTTTGTTTGAAGGCGCTAATCTCAGGAACTACTGGTCCGATTTGAAAAATTATTTCAGTGTTAGATAGCCCATTTATCGAGGAAGGCTATAGGCTATATATAATCACGCTAAGACCAATAGGAGCGGAGCACCAATGAAGAATGTTTCAAAAACGGAGAAAATTTATTACTATTGAGAGACGCAGACGAAGTTGCGCGGGTCAGCTAGTAATAAATAAAAACATATTTTATAAAATTAATTACTAAGGAGTTTCCATTGGATTCTATTTTTTTTATTAATTCCTTAATATCAGTCAGTTATTGTACATACTAAAAACGTGTCGGAGGCTATCTCAATAGATAACCTTTAAATAGTATACATGTGAGTAGAAAACACGCTAGCAATTACATTTTTAAGTCTTCTAAGAGTGCGTAGTGCGTAGTAGTAGTAACCTTTCCTTTTAAAACATGATCTAAAAAAAAATTTAAAGCAAAAGGTTCTTTTCCGTTGTCATCTCATATATTAAGACAACTCACGCGGAGACTTTACAAACATACATGAAACGGACACAAAGAACACCCAGACTCAGAACAAGAATTTGTGGATCACACAAAGTGTCGTCCCATGTGGGGATCGGATCACAACACTCAGCGTTGTAGTAAGTGGCGTGTCGACCGCTTAAACCACTACGCCACCCGTGCAGTGTTAATCATCATCATAAATTATCATCAACAGCTTTAATAGTCCACTTCTGGACAACATGCCAGGCGGGTATAACATTTGTTTCAAGTTTTCATTCTCTATGCAGTGCTGTTATCCTACGTAGCAGTCGGCTCTTACGACACCCACCACGGGACGAATAGGGGTGGTGACACTCCGTATTCTTAATCCGTCACCACACGGATTTGTGTGTTTATTTAAGTAACCTTAATTATTCCAGTTACGTTATATGACAGAGTATTAAAAACAATTAATATCAATATAGTTCTTCATAACCACAAGACACAAGTACCTTATGAAAATGTCTGATTGTGGGATTTTCATAATATATATTTACGAGGAAGGTAAAGGACAATAAATTAAAATACCTTGTTAATATCTAATATAATTAATAAATTAAATATATGTACGTAATTTCCTTATTTTTAACAAACAACATGTGCACTATTAAGGAATATAATTAAGTCAAAATAGTCACAAGGAAACTATATGAGACCTTAAAAATATTAATAATAACTCTACACATCTCACGCCGGGCCTACAGCACAATAACCAGACTGCTGATAAACATACTTATACGAGTATATTTCTAAATACATACATATTATAATCCATATTATATAAGATTAAGAATACAGAGTGTTACCACCCCTATTCATCCCGTGAGTGTCGTATGTCATCATCATCAACAGCCTATAACAGTCCACTGCTGGACATAGGCCTCTCCTTAGGAAGGAGGGTTTGGCCTACTATACCACGCTGGCCAGACGGGTTGGCATAGGGTTTGTGTCAAGTTTTCCTTCTCTTTGCAGTGCTGTTGTCCTACGTAGTTTGTCCCTTAGTCGGCTCTTACGACACCCGCGGGATGAATAGGGGTGGTGACACTCCGTATTCTTAATCCGTCACCACACGGACTCATACCTACATACACACTTACAAACATAAACTCACGCGTTATTCCCGTCCTGTTACCACGATTCTGACATACAACTTGGGGCTCCTTTACATTCATCAGGTCTTTTATCCACACCCGTTCAATATTCCAATATATTTTAGGTTTAGGTTGTCACAACCTATGGAGCTGCTTTGTACTGACCCTGGTATCCATATCAACCGCTCTGGACCAGATGGGATACGCTGTAGTTTTGCCACCCGCCGCCTGTGAACTACAAATATCTGATCAAGCTAGAGGATTTATTATTGCTATGCCTTATATCGGTAAGTTCTTCATTTTATTTATTAAATATATATATTACAATAAGTAATTATTTAATTAATTACTTATTCTCAAAAAGACAATACCTGGATAGTTGGCGCTCCACTACTGTGCGCTTTTCGAGACACTTTTTGCCCCGCACAACCAATCTGTGGAACGGGTTATCGTCTGCGGTATTTCCGGACCGATACGACCTTCAAACCTTCAAGAAAAGAGCGTACTCCTTCCTAAAAGGCCGGCAACGCGTTTTTAACTCCTGAGTTGCAGACGTTCATGGGCGGCGATAGTCACTTTCCATCAGGTGACCCGTCTGCTCGTCTGCCCCCTCTAACATGAAAAAAAGCCACTTTCATGAGAATACAAAATAACATTTTTGTTACATTATTAAGTACCTACCAGTCACCGAAACAAGTAAATACACATACAAATACAATTTATTTATTTAAAAAGACAACTACCGCCTAAGGAATATATTCCTGTGTCGCGGGGGACTTTACAAACATATAAGAAACGGACACAAAGAACACCCGGACTAAGAACAACAATATGTGGATTACACAAAGTGTTGTTCCATGCGGGGATCGAATCCACAACACTCAGCGCAGTAGGAAGCGGCGAGGTGACCGCTAACACAACTACGCCATCCGTGCAGTCTATGAAGACTCATTACAATGAAGACACAATGAAGAACTACAATGAAGAATCATTATTGCAGTAAAAAAGTAAAATAATCTATACAGTAAAATGAAATATACAGATACAAATTAAATAGTATGTATATACAAACTAGGAACGCTCAACACTTTTATTTTCACTTGGATTATGGTTAATTGTGGGTAGGATTATTTTTCGACTATGTACTTAGACAGTTGAGATTTAAAACCAGATGACCCTACTGCTCGATTGCTCCCTACACCTTAAAAAATCCATTGAGATTTTTGGTTAAAACTCTATTTATTTCATCAATCATCATGAACAGCCTTAAATAGTCCACTGTTGGACATAGGCCTCTCCTTAGAAAGGAGGTTTTGGCCTACTATACGGGCCAGACGGGTTGGTATAGGGTTTGTTTCAAGTTTTCCTTCTCTTTGTAGTGCTGTTTTGCAGTTTGCTCCCTTACTCTTACGACACCCACGGGATGAATGGGGGTGATGACACTCTGTATTCTTAATCCGTCACCACACGGACATTTTTTTATTTATTCAACTATTTATTTGGAAACAAATATTTAGACTTATTTTAAATTGCAATTTTTATATTAAAACGTTAGGATACTGTTTGCGAGATACGCGCACACTTTTATACGATTGGTCACCTGCCCTATTAAAATTTTTAATTCAATTAACCTTTCAATTAACTCTCCCCGATCAAAGCAACCTAGTACTGTTAGGAAAAGCTACAGAAAAGGCTTGTACGATGTGCAGTGCGGAAATAGGTACATCCAGACACTTACTGACAGGTTGTAAAGCGCTATTGGACCCAGATCATTATTTACTTCGCCATGATACCCTATCATTACAAATGAGAGCGAAAGCGAAAAAGGAATAGCAACAAACATATGAACTAACATCGAGTTTGTAAAGGAAGGCTCAACAACAAGACTTCACAAAAGCCGTACTCAATTATAAATACCGCCAGTGACTGGACATTATTAGTAGACACGTATGAAAATCATTACAGAATACCGGAGGATATCTGTGCCTCGGCGTCAAGGCCAGACATTTTTCTTTATGCAAAGTTAATTAAGCGTGTGGTACTAGTAATACTCACGGTATTATAGAAAACGAACATCGCTATAAACCATGCTTTAAAAAGAAACAAGTACTTTGACTTGATAAACGAAATAACTAGAAATATTAGGTCTTTACCTATGAAATTGCCGTGTGAAGTGGGTGCGAGGGGTATACCAGCTAAATCCCTCTATAACTTGCTTAAAGACCTTGGATTGCCAAGAGCATCAGTAAACTGTCGAGCACTTGGTGGATCTTTACGAGTATTTCGCTAACTTCTAGGTTTATTTTCCTGATAAATGTATTCAATGTCGTACCTCTTAGTGTAAACAAATACATTTCATCATCAAAAATGTCTATCAAAATATCTTTAATCCATATAATTCTTACAGTTTTGTAAAAATACGATTTTATTCTTTTAACAATCTGGCATGCTAAGTTAACGAGAGAAAATAAATTCAAATCAATACAGGTAGAACATTCTGTCAATAAATAACAGCTATCGTTTGCATTTTAATATTAAATATGTTAATCCCACAGATTTCTCGGCAAATTATAAATGACCGAATTAACTTTGTAAATATTAATAATAGATGTGACTTCGTTGTCTTTATTGATGCATTCGATACAGCAGACCTCACAATACTTAAGGTGACAAAGTAAAAGAAAGGCAATTTAAAGAGGATTTGAGTTACTTTGACTGCTCTCTTATAATGTGTATCAATATGATACCTAAAACACTATCAAACTATTGAAAATGAAGGTTAAAGTACCACACCAAATTTGGCGTACCACAGGGAAGTGTTCTAGGGACATCAATTTTACAAATTGAATAGTGATGCAATAGAATCCTACAACTATCGCGAGAGACATTTTTAATAGCCAAGGTTTTATGCGGTTTATTACTTGGTGACCAAACAGGTAAACTAAAATTATTCTTATCGCATCTTATCAGCAACATCTGTAACTAAAATGCAAATCTGTGCAAACAGTGTAATGTCATTAAACGATCATCAACAGGCTTCTCCCATTGCGTGCCACTTCGATCGATTTTGGGCTCCTCGCTATTTTTTCGAAGAGGTATAGAAGGTCATAGCTTCTTAGAACCACCTGGCGTCCAAACAGCACTGCCTCGTGATTATACGAGTATATTAGTTGACGACGGGTGGTCCACCGGTGAACCCCGCGTTATCATCAGTGAACGGCACGTGGTCATCGAGTCAAGTTAAGTTATTTGACTTGACTTGTTGACCGTTACCGTTTAAATGTCATCAAATACCTTTGTATTAAAAAAAAATAAACTGGCTGGTTTTTAAGTGGGATAATCCGGGTAAAATTAGGTTTAAAAAAATACTTTGGAAAAAATCGTTTGAAAGTTATTGAAAAAAAAATCGAACAGTTTTGATAAACCATTATTGAAAAAAGCAGGGATTTTTTAAAATGGAAAAACAAAAAATCAGAGGTTGTAGTGTGAGAAAAAACGAAGAAATCGAGAGTTGCTAAGACAAATTCGATAGAAACTTTACGAGAAAATAGGCTTTTATTTCGATCTGGAACATTCTAAACCTTTATTCTGCAAAATTACAGCAAAATATTTACCGTAATTTTCATACTATATCATATAAAGTGCCACATCGTGTCAAAATTAGTTATTATTAGGTATAATATGTATGATGTGGTAATACTTATTAATAAATAAATAAAGAAATGAAAGACAGTAGTAACGGCACCCTGAGAATAATTATTTATGATTTTAATGAGAATGACATTCTGTACGTGTGTTGACGGATTAAGAATACAGTGTCACCACCACATTCCCACCCATTCATCCCGTGGGTGTCGTAAGAACCGACTGAGGGAGAAAACTATGCACTGCAGAGAGAAGGAAAACTTCAAACCCTTTATATATAATAGTGTTTAGTAGTAAGTGGTATAGTATGCCAAAGCCTCCTTGAGAGTCCTATGTCCAGCAGTGGAATATTAAAGGCTGTTGATGTGATGATGTGATGTTGAATGACATTCAATTTGTAATATTAATTATTTTATTCATTCTTGCTGTTTATTGTTTGCTGTTTGTTTTTTCTTTTGTTCTGTATTGAAATTATTTTGAATTTATTTAACATGCATTGAATTATTGCATATTCAAGACGTTAAAATGGTACTCTGTATTCAGGCTAGTTTATGTCTCACTCATAGTGGTGCCCGGCTTCGATTTAATGCAGCTAGCGTCCTATCTGATTTGTAATGCTGATCTCAATTTAAATCATTTATTTTTGCTACACAAGATACATTAAACAGACACGAATACAATGTACATTTCAAAAACACGACATTAATTTCATAAACATACAATAAGCTCAGTTCATGCTGTGCGAAAGAACAGCACTGGTTTCCAATATTCCTTTGTTATGCCTGTTGATGTCAGGGAGATGATGATGATATGATGAAAGCGTTAGGTGTTCTGTAGAAATTTGCGTGATTAGCTTTTAGTTTTTATGTCATACCTTTCTACATTGACTTTTAATACTGAGTTATGCACAAAGTTCTCCTATCTGTGGCAAAATCAAAATATATTTATTTATTTCTAGGCGTTCTTCTATCTTCCCACGCGTGGGGTTACCTGGTGGACACACAAGGGCGCAAAAAGACGGTCATTTTTAGCACTCTTGGCAACGGATTGTTTGGTGCTGGGGCGGCATTTATGCCGAATCTAACTTCTTTCATCATATGTAAGGGGTTTTCAGCTCTTTGGTAAGCCTTATTTATTGATTTAATGCCTTTGTGTGCTAGATAATGTAATGACGTTGAAATTAACTTGTTGTAACAAAGTGTTTACAACCAACAATCAATAAAATGTACATGATTCTCATCCGTCTGGTGACGGATTAGGAATACAGAATGCTGAGACCCCTATTCATCCCGTGGGTATCGTAAGAGCCGACTAAAGGGAACTATCTACAGCACTGCAAAGAGAAGGAAAACTTGACGCAAACCCTATACCAACCTGCCTGGTTAGCGTGGTATTGTAGGCCGGAACCTCCTTTCTAAGGAGAGGCCTATGTTTATTAAAGGCTATTGATAATAATGATGATGATGATGCTGGAATAATGATGATTGCAGCTGTGCTTCGGCACATAAATATGAGCTGACTCAACCAGAACGAGACTACGGCTTCACAGAAACCTTATGCTAAGCAATTATTTCTGTGCTTTTCACCGAGTGACTGAAGTTACTGGAAGCGCAATTCTCCCCTCCTAATTCTCTGGGGAGGGCGATACCTTTGTCTCCTGAGTTATAGGTGTCCATTGGAGGAGGTAGTTGCTTATTATCAGGTGACTTGTACGCTGTTTTGGCGTAAATCATTAAAAAAAAGAATAAATTTGTTAAGGATTTCATTAAGTATTCGATAGATGGCGTGTACATCGTGTTATGTCGCGCTATAATTTGTTTGTTAGATAATATATATATTATAGATAATATTGTGTGTTAGATAATATAATTTTAAAGGTTAGAACAGCCTTAAAAACTCCTTCGGGGATAGAGACGTGAGTGTTTGTATATACATACCTACATACTCGCATACTAAAAGACTGTAGTTCGGTCAGGAGAACGTATTTTTTCGCAGTTTCGCCCGTAATCATGGCCACTTTAAGGAAGAACAACCTGTACCTAACAGTCCTTAACCATTTGCTACCATAGATGAAAGAATTTTTCAAATCTGACTTGTAGTTTTAGAGATTTGGCTTTCCAAGAAAACAAACTCTTCAGGATTCTTTTATGACTGGCAATATAAATACTGTTGTACATTGTTTTATGAAGAATTTGAAGGTTATCGTCTAAGATTATGTTAAGGACAATAAAGATTAAACGAGAACAGATACAATAAAACACATAATTATAATCAGATAAGTTATGAGCTCAGGATTTTAGATCTTTAAAACATTTGCCCCTAAGCCAAGCCAGAGGCAATTATTGTGTGATGACCACGATTATTTGTTTCGTTTCTGTGTGTAATTTATTTATATAGAAATAACTAAGTATGTTTATCAGCAGTCTGGTTACCATAGCATAAGTTCTACCTAGTTTGGGATCAGACGGCCGTGTGTGAGATGTGTGAGGTTATTATTATACTGGGTTCAGTCTGGGTTGACCAATTAATGAAAAGCGTTGTCACGATAAAGGCTTGTATTATATTTCTTAGTACACTAAAGATCTCCGATGGGCTTGATCCCTTGGCGTTACGTAGAGATGTAGTTTCACTCTGCATTCTCTATCTATCGTATATATCATGGAGAGTGCTCCGAGGAATTGTTCGGACTAATACCGGCCGCAACTTTCCGCCATCGTTCCACCCCCAAAAATTTTCATCCCCATCACTTGGATGCTTGCCACTCAACCACTGTGCGCTTTTCAAGACACTTCTTGCCTTGTTTTTTTTTTTTACGTGTGGAAATCCTCTCAGACCGTCACCCCACCGGGGTTTGCGGCGGGGTGGTGTGTCGGACTCGAACCGACTAAAACCACACGGTGTGCCATTCTGCGCCTGTAAAAGGAGGGATCCAGGAACAGCTGTTATTAAGACATCCGGACCCCTCCTAGCGCCGGCCCGCTCCTGTTGCCTCCTATCCTAAGAAGGAAGACACTTCTTGCCTGGTACAACCAACCTGTGGAACAAGTTATCGTCTGAGGTATTTCCGGACCGATCCGACCTTCAAACCAAAAAAAAAGGGCGTACTCCTTACTAAAAGGCCGGTAACGTGCTTGGGCCCCTGAGTTACCCTGTTCATGGGCGGCGGTAGTCACTTTCCATCAGGTGTTCTTTTTTCATGCAGTCATATATTATTGATTACCACACTTGTTACTCCACTGGCATCGCTGGGGAAACTAAAATCAAATCTTGCTATTTAACCATAGTCAATTAATAAAATGAATTTAGGCATTATGCTTATGATTTTTTTGTTAAACAACTTCTTTATGCCAATTATTGTAATTAATAATTTGAATAATACTAACTTATAGAATTAATGACCTAACAATAATAATCTGCTAGGGTACAACTACAATTTAACACTTGACATGTGACTGTTTCGTAATAAATCTGGTTCATACAGTGTTGTTGTTCATACAATCTTATGTTATTAACAGACTTCAAAAACACAAAAGAGGATGTTCTCAATTCGACTGTATTGTTTTTACACGCTTTATATTAGTTTCACTTGTATGTTTGTAACCGACTCCTTTGGGCGTGATTTTGACTGACTTTAAACGGTCAGAATTCGTTCAAACTTTGTAGATATATCGAGGACCGATGACAATACACTAATTTAAAAAAAATAGTTTTAAAAAACTAAAATCACGCTTTCTAAAGAAAACCAAACTAAAAAATAGAAAATAAATTTGAAAAAAAGCGTGGGGTGCTTTTTACTATTGACAACGGGCACCCAACGCTTTTTTTTTAATAGCTGGTAATGAATAATAGATATTGGCTTACTTATTATTTATTGATTTACTTATTTCCTTCTCCGATATAAGTCAAATTGTTGGTAATCAAGAAAGGTCAATATACATATATTGACCTTTTATTGATTATGAAAATAAACTAAGATAAATTAGGCATGTGTAGCGTTATATCCGTTTCTATGTGATTCATTAAATAATGGAAATGACCTAAACATGTAATTTTCTACACTTTTTCTGTATCTCTTTCTCCTGCTCCGAGACATTGTCAAAAACTATGTTAGAGTCGCCTTTAAGTCTATTACGATACAGCTGAACTTCCATCAGACCTCCACAACCCAAGTACTAGGTGATATCGAAGTTCTGTGGAAAGACTGTTGGCGAATTTTTTAGGGTTCCAACTACCCGTAACGATTGCCACAGGAGTTGGCAACCGGGGCCGACATCTGATCTTGCTTTCCAAGGCACGGAGGGGTCTCAATGTGTTAAGAATGGTCGTTTGACCTGGCTAGGATTGCTTACTTATCGGTTACCACTTAGCTACGAACCCCAATCAATTTGATTTGGTCATATGAGGATTGGTTAGGTGTTAGATGTTATATTCAAAATATAATTACTGTTCACTGCTGGACATAGGCTTCTCCTTAACAAAGAGATTTTGGCCTACTATATTACGCTGGCCAGACGGGTTGGTATAGGGTTTGTATCAAGTTTTCCTTCTCTTTGCAGTGCTGTTGTTCTGCGTGGTTTGATCCCTCAGTCGGTTCTTACGACACCCACTCCACCCACCCCAATTATGGTTGTGACACTCCGTATTATTTACTTAAGGTGAGGCCTATGTCCAGCAGTGGACTATTAAAGGCTGTTAAAGATGATGATCCTAAACTGTTTTGTCAACAGTCTGGCGGGTCCAGCCTCAATCCCGTACACGTACATCAGCGAGATAGTCCCGCCGAAGTACCGAGACATAATGCTGTCTCTCATGAACTCTGTCATGTTGGTCGGAACAGTTCTTGCTACACGTAAGTAACTTTTAACTATTAAAAATAAATATATTTATATGTGATGTGTGTATATGTAGGTGTATTTATGATTGGAGGATTGGCTCGAGAGGCGTCACGGGACCCTCTCATACCAACTGACGCAGGTGATCACTGGGAAAGGATGTTTCGGGGATCACCTGTGTCTGATCCGCAAGGCGCCAACGCTTGAGTGCCACCACTGCGATGGCCAGACCGTGGACACGGCTCTCCACACGCTGGCAGAGTGCCCGGCGTGGGTTGAGCAGAGGCGAGACCTCGTGGGGGCCATCGGAGTGGGAGTTCTCTCGCTCCATAGCCTGACTGCGGCTATCGTGCGGAGCGAGAGTGCGTGGAACTCTGCCGTCTCCTTCTGCGAGCAAGTTATGCTCGCGAAGGAGACGGCGGAGCGGGACCGGGAGAGGTTTAGGACTCTCCCGGCCCGCCAGGCCCGGGAACGGGCCAGGTACCGGAGGCGACTCAGGCGCCGGAGGTCGCAGAACGACCTCCGTCCTCCATAAGCGCAGGCCTGGGGGTGACAGGTGAGGCCATCTGTCACCCTAGCAGAAGCAGGCCGGGGTGGGGTGGTTGCTTCCAGGGAGCAGAGGGAACATGGGATTCCCACACGGGGGGGGGGGGGGGTCGTCTACCTGTTGTTGTAGATGGCCCGAGGGAGGGTATATAGGGTAGGTTTGTAGGGTATACCTGGTTCCCCGGCTATTAGTACCCGAGACGGCGTGCGGTTTTAGTCGGTTCGAGTCCGACATGCCACCGACAGGTGGTATCCGAGGGGATTTCCGCACGGAAAAAAAAAGGAAGTCCCTGGTGCACAACTCTCCAACCCTTACTTCATTAACTCTATACCTTAGTAAAAAAAAGTGGCTAGCCCGTTTTCTTTACTACAAGAACTATATTGTATAACAGAAAAGTAATGAATAGTGAATAATTTCGTTATGATCGTTACGCCCATGTGACGGTACCAAAACAGCCACATATTTTGACTTAGGTGAAGTTTCCCGGATGGTGGCGAGACGCGCTTCGAAGCGCGCGCCCCCCTTTCGGGAGCACAAAGGGGACATAGCGGTTCCCACAAAGGAGGGGGTCAGTTACGCAAGTAGATAGCCCGAGGTACGTCGGAGTATCAGGGTTTTCCTTCCTAGGGTGTTCCCCGGCAACTGGTACCCGAGACGGTGTGCGGTTTTTGGTTGGTTCGAGTCCGACATAACCACCGGTGGTATCCGAGGGGATTTCCACACAAAAAAAATAGTGTAGTAAAAAAAAAGTGGTGTGTAAAAGTGAAATCCCACCGTCCCGACCCGGGACTGAGACCCGTCCGTCCCGTCCCGTCCCGTCTTGAAAATATTCTTGGTGGGATTTCACTTCTTTTTATGGCGTGTATTTCTTGCACATGAGAGATGCCTATCCCGAAATATGTATTTTATTATTTATAACAAGCAGTCCCTCCCCTCCCATTTTCAGATTGCCTGCATAACATAAAAACACGGAGCATTTAAAGTGCTAAATACTTATTTTTCCAGCATTCGCTTGGGCAATACTACCGCAAGAATTCGCGATTGACTTCGGCGCTTACATCTTCCGGCCATGGCGTCTTCTGACTATAGCATGTTCGATCCCGTTATTAATATCATCCATTTTATTAATTTTTAACCCTGAGAGTCCGAAGTATTTAATCACGCAGGACAAACATGAGGAAGCTCTCCAAGTTTTAAGGAACATGTATGCTGTTAATAAACGTAGGAGCCCTGAGGATTATCCTGTGAGTATAAAACTGAAGAGTTTAGGTGGTAAACACATGACAACAACACTGCAATGAAAAGGAAAACTTGAAACAAACCCTATACCAACCCGTCTAGCCAGCGTGGTATAGTAGGCCAAAAGTTCCTTTCTAGAAGCCTATGTCCAGCAGTGGACTCTTAAAGACTGTTGTTGATGATGATGATGAATACGTGGATGTCTTTTAAGCCTCAGCTGGGTAGCCCGTCAGCCATAGAGGCACGAAAGTATCTAATGAAACATTAACGATTGCGGAATTCAAATATACTTATTTTTGGAACAATTCAAATTTGTTTTTTACAGATTAGTAGGCTAACAAATATCTCGTTGCCCAATGAAAAGGAGAGCTTGTTTACATCCATCAAGTCACACACTCTACCTTTACTTAAATGGACGTACTCGAAATGGATGCTTCTCAATGCGTTTTTGTTATTCGGCACTTTTAATGTGTAAGTATTGTTAAAATAGTCCAACTAATAATCGGTGCACGCGATAGACAAACGTAGTGTAGGCCGCCCTGCAGCATGATGAGCCGAAGACTTGGAGAACATGGATGATGGCGGATGGATGCGGACTGTCCAAGACCAGGACAGTTGGCGTCCCTTGTCTCGATCCGGAATAGTTGTCAGCATTAGACTGATGATAAAGAATCTCAATGATATTCACTTATATTATTCACTTTGCACTTATTTACTCGTTGTAGCGCAGAACTAGACTGTCTCCACATCGGTTTTGAAGGAAGTTTTAAAAGGTTCGTGAACAGGCGGTACAATCTTAGTCGACAATAATGGGAATGTTACGAAAATAATGAACCCAAATACAATGGTTTTTTATTTGTTCTAAAATTTTAACAACAATACGTACACTTCATTTAGGCGTATAATACTTGTGTACTTCGCCAGTCGATACTTATAGATGTCGTTACTTTCGGTATAATCCGCATAAAACAAAAAGTGAGTTGTTTTAGTTTTAATTATCCCGGAACGTATATCACTATTTTCTGGAATCATTATAAAATGACTTTTGGAAATAAAATGTTGCCATTATTTTTTTTATACATTGAGTTGGTAGTTATTTTGTATGATAAAATTTGTAAATGTAGACTTATATTAAAATTTTTGAAAACTTTAAAAAAAATTTAGCACTTTAATACACACGATTCTAAGAAATCATAACTTAGTGCCTGTATCATTTCATCATTGCCATTGTTTTGGTACTTTTCATCAGCGTTAATGAAGCAACATTTGCAACAGCTGTCGTTATGAATGTTGTCCGTCAACATGACATTCATAACGGCATTTTTTTGGTTGTTGAATGTTTACTTGCTTGAAACTAATAACAATTATTCTCTGATATCTTCATTAATGCGTGAGTTGAGCCTAGGTTCTTCTGATCTTTGTTATCCATGTGTGTTGTTTTCGAGTAGTATTGAGGTAGAGACACTTATTTTTAACGCTTTATTTTTGTGTTGCAATGTCTGTTAAACGTTGTTGTCTTGAAAAGAAGAAAATAAACGTTTTTTTTATACATTGTTTTATTTTACAAAGTTCTAATTGCATAGGTATATTTGTACATAATATAAACAATACTGTATACAATAAGTATTACCTATATTATAGATATGTAGATATAAATATATCCTTTCAAATGTTGAGTAAGAGAAAAGTTGTTGCTCGCTCCTAACAGATGGCGTTGTTTTGTAATTTCCTCCAAAAGCGATTGAGATATACCTCTATTTCAGTATATTACAATGTACTCTGTGGTTCGTGAATTTGCCCAAAAAAATCTTTCTAATAAACGGAATTTCCTGTAGTATCAAGAGAACTGTCAAGTTATGACAGTTCTCTTGATACTACAGGAAATTCGTGAAATATTCTGGAATATTTCGAACTTTTTTGAAAAATTTATCGATTCGTTTCCCTAGAACATTATTTTAAATACAGGAATACCGAACAGAATAATGGATACCTGCTCAAACAGCGATCAAGTCAAGTTGTAACAGTACGTTAATATTTCAGATTGAACGGCCTTTACATTTGGGTGCCAGAAGTAGTGAACAGGGTGTTTTCTGGTGGTGAAGATAACGGCAGAACTCCGTGTCAAGTTATAACCCAGGGGCTCAATCAAGTAACAAAGTCCTTCATTTAAAGAACCGCTAATATTATACCTGCGTGTATAAGTTTGTTTGTCATTTTCACGCCTTAACCACTAAACGGTTTATAATTAAAAAGGATACGGTTTACTTAGAAACAAAATTTAAATCCTAATGAGATACTCCATAGATTGATAAAGTAATAAAAATTAAAACAAGTTCCATACAGAGAAAGGCTGTCGTTTCTAAAGTAAATAAGATTGAAGCAGGCTCGGTATGGGTCCGCGCGCTTTTGTGTGTGTGTGTGAGGCACACACTCTCTCTCTCTCTGTGTGTGTGTGTGTGTGTGTGTGTGTGTCTGTGTGTGTGTGTCTGTGTGTGTGTGTGTGTGTGTGTGTGTGTTTGTCTTCGTATGTGTGTGTGCCTGTATGTGTGTTTATTTTGGTAATTGGGTATCAATTGAAACGAAAAGCTCTATGAGGTCGTAATCCAGAGTTAAAAGTCAGAATAATATATACTAGACTTGCAACGAATATTCGGTTACTATTCGGTATTCGGTATATTCGGCTGCTTTTATTATATTCGGCCGAATACCGAATATCTACATATTATTCGGCCGAATACCGAATACTTAAATAATATATTTTGTCATTGAGAAATAATTGGTAAAATGAAAAATTAAAATCGATTGATTACGTATATATTCATATTTTCATTTCTGTTATAATCATTTAAGTAGTCATTGGTGCATAACACAGGTACATAATCATCTTCTGAATTGGAAAAATGGAGGATTCTATGTATTTGAATTATTGTGGTAATCAAAATTTAGAAGGGTAAGGTTCTCATTTCTTTTATAATCATTTATTAAGTAGTCATTGGTACATAAAACAGGTACATAATTTAATTCACGTCTGTACAAGTTTTTGGCGCTAAAATCCAGCCGAATACTTTTGCCTAATATTCGGCTATTCGGTCAGGGGCCTCGCCGAATATTCGGTATTCGGTATACTGCCGAATATACTATTCGTTGCAAGTCTAATATATACTTAGTATAAATATATGTATGAAAATAAAATAGAAAATATATTAATAAAATATAAATGTTACAACTGTTAACAAGCAAAAAATAAAAATTAACAAAAACCTTTAAACCACTTATTTAAAGTGTTTTTTATTTGTTTAAGACAATGGCTGGCGAGCAATGCAACAACGCCTTAGAAGACAGAACTCTTATGATAAGCACAATTGCTCAAACGAGTTTGGCGCTGTTTGTGATGATTGTGAGCTGTGTTATTAAATTCATGTCAAAGAAGACAATGATTATCATTTGCTTTTGGGTTATAGGTAACTGCAAGTGGCTCCTTAAACCGTTCTGTTACACACGCATACACACTAACACACACACACACACACACAAACACGCAAATTTACACACACACGCATACTCCGTGTAGTGATGGATTAAGAATACGGAATGTCACTACCCCAATTCATCCCGTGGGTGTCGTAAGAGCCGACTAAGAGCAACAACGCAACAACCAGCACTGCAAAAAGAAGGAAAACTTGACACAAACCCTATACCAACCCGTCTGGCCATCGTGGTATAGTAGGCCAAAACCTTCTTTCTAAGAAGAGGCCTATGCCAAGCAGTGAACTGTTAAAGGCTGTTGATATGATGTGATGTGCATACTTACACTCACACTCATTTATTGTGTAAAAAAAAAACATTTATAAGACCTTTTTGATTTCAGGTTTGGCCTGCATCCTCGTCAATTTCATTACAAACCAGATTGTGTTTGCTATTATTTTGTCAGCTTTGATAATTACTATACTTAACGTGGGATGTGTTAACGCGTACACCGTGGATCTCATCCCTACACATTTAAGGTGAGACATGATCCATACCCATCTGCTGCCAAGGGTACCCATTTTGTTTTGTTGACTTGCGGAAAATCAGTACGGATTTTGCTGCTCGGAGACATAGGGGCCTGGAGTATGTGGTGTTTTCACTAAAAACCAGCCTGACAGCTGGTCTCCGGCGCTCTGTGTACATATACTGTTAGCTATGGGAGAGCTTAGGCATAAGGAGTGACAGCACGGCCTCACAGAAAACCGTTGTTAAGTAGTTCTTTTGTTTGTTTTTCACCGCGTGAGTGAGGTTCCCGGAGCTCAAACCCCCTCTCCTCCTGATTCTTACCTGAAAGAGCGGCAAAGTTCTTGTAACTCCTGAGTTTCACGTGTCCATGGGCGGCAATAGTCACTTACCTGATGGTGACGTGTCTGACGTTTGCCCCACAATCACATAATAAAAAAACAGATGCACTCCGAGAATTCCGACAGAAGTGAGAACTTATATACTTACTAGCTGACCCGACAAAAGTTGTTTTGCCATATACATTATTCTAGGAAATATTGAAAAAAAAATTAGGGGTGGGTCACCCTTGTCATTTAGGGGTATGAAAAATAGATGTTGGCCGATTCTCAGACCTACCTGATGTGCACACAAATTATCATAAAAATTGGTTCATCCGTTTCGGAGGAGTATGGTAACTAACATTGTGACACGAGAATTTTATATATAAGATACTAGCTGACCCTGCAAACGTTGTTTTGCTATTTACATTATTTTTTTTGAATTTCTTAAAATCCGTTCTTAGCTGACCTCTACTCGGTGAAAAGAATATTCCTACCAAATTTCAAGTCTTTAGCTCTAATGGTTCCAGAGATATCGTGATGAGTGACTCTATACGTGGAAATCTCTTATATATATATAGATAGAGAGGTGTCGGTAACTGTGGTGTCGTTGGTGTCGTATTACAGGGGTATGGCGGTAACTGTGTCCATGACGCTGGGTATGACGGGTTCCATCGCCGGCAGCACCATGGCTGGATACATGATCAAAGACGCTTGCGAACCTATGTTCTATACATTTGGCGGATTATTAATACGTAAGTATACAATATGTTGAAATTTCGGTGTTTGGTTTGTGTTTCTGGAAACTTCCTTGAGTTATCACTCTACCGGAGTTTTCGGAAGACGGTATGTTTCAATCAAACCGGCTAAAAACCACGTGTTTTGCCACAATGTGCCTATAATTAGAAGGATTCGGAAACAGCTTTTAATCTGTAGTTTCTAGTTCTTTACCTCAACGAAATCACATTAAATTATAAAAACCTCTCTTCAACTCCGAAATCCTAAATATTATCTTTTACATTTCTTTTCCTTTTAAATTCCTATTAAATAATATGGTTTTACTCGCGTGTGTGTTCCGGATATATAGTTTTTGAATATAGTTTCATCACATCACATCAACAGCCTTTACTAGTCCACTGCTGGACATAGGCCTCTCCTTAGAAAGGAGGTTTGGCCTACTATACCACACTCCAAACGGGTTGGTATAGAGTTTGTTTCAAGTTTTCCTTCTCTTTGCAGTGCTGTTTACCTGCGTAGTTTGCTCCCTTAGTCGGTTCTTACGACACCCACGGGATGAATAGGGGTGGAAACACTCCGTATTCATAATCTGTCAATATGGTTTAGTAGTATTTAATTGAGATTGTAGTTTTCTAATTACTATAATCTGTAGTAGAACATTTAATCAACTCAAACTCATGTTTTTTTTTTTGAACAACCATTGATTTAAACAGCGTCATTCATTTTCAGTATGCGGTGGACTCTCATTTTTGTTACCAAGTTCAAGGAATTTGAAGAATTAGGGCATTGATGATGATTCAAACGTTGACGATATGTCAGTCCAGATTATAACATTACTAATGATTATAACGTAGAATACCAAATGGTTAAAGCACGCGACTTGTGATTATTACGTAGGGGCGAGTTCGAGCGCCACCGAAGCCAACCCCCGATGCCGTGAGCATTACAATGTCGCAAATGGTCATTTAAATGTTATAAATAATTAGTTGCTCCACTTCTGTAATTGTCAGGCACTTAAAATTAGTTTCACTTATGGTTTTTACGTTATTTCAAAAAAACGAGGTTACGTTTGAAACGTTACCTCACCCAGATATTTTATTTTAACTGCAATATTGAAATAAATATTAGCTCAATAATTAGTTCTTTGGACGAGGTAAATGTTACAACTTATTTTGTATTTTCTTTGGCTGCGATGTTATTCGAAATCCTGCTGGAGTAATGTTTGTGGGTTTGCTGGATCTCTGAAACGGGTAAGTGGATTCTATCCATCTTTTGTACATAACTTCTTAAGAATTAGTTTTAATTTGTTTAACACAATAAAAGATCAAAAATAATGCACCGTTTAAAGATAATTTAATTAAGTATGAAAACACTTTAATACGTCCTAATACTTTGAATAAGACCTTTAAATACTTATTTTAAACGTTATTTTATAGCTTGTAACTGCCTTCAAATGTATATGAATTTTCGTTAGGATACTGTAAGTAACTAAACTGTTATGATGAAATGTAGCTCTCCACGTTCACGATCACACTGTGCGCGGACTTTTTTGGCCACCGATGAACCTGTGTGTAGATATATAAACTGAATGTTATATTAATAATAAGTTGGTTAGTTCAGTTATCTACCTATAAAACTTCAGCGTAATACATACAGTAATTAACGAGATAATTAAATAAAAGTCATTAGAAGGTGCAAGACCGTGGTAACCCGAGCATGTCTAGGTGGTTACAAAAAACCGATCGCCCAGTACAATATGCTATCTTCTAAAATGTTTAGCATAATACACCTTGCGAGTTCGGTACAGACGTGTACAGTAAATAAATACATAATAATATTTATTCATCCGTGCTAATCCTATCCTAAATTACAAACAACAGGGCATGGACGGACTTAATACTTTGAAGACCTACTGTTACTTTTTCGAAGTAATATTGCTTTAAAAAATGTCCTTATGTTGAACACAATCAGCAGACGACAAACAAGTTAAATTTTCATCACATTAATATCAAAAATATGTAGTTACGTTTAATTAACACTAGAGTGCACGCGCGGGCTACATATGTAACCCAGCGTGTAATATTGTCGTATATAATTTTTGTTTGCCGCGCTACAGCGCAATCGTCTAATGTATTCTTCAAGCATAACCCCCCGCTCCCGCCAGTAGCGTGCCGACTCCCGCGGCTCACAGACGTCTGCAAAAATCGCCCTTGAAGTTGGTGGGCTACGCCTGTAGCCCGCGCGAGCGTTGGAGGAAATTAAGTGTTTAGTGTGTAAGTGGTGAAATTGAGGTAAATATGAAACATTTGTTGCAGTATTACTACAAAACTTACTGTTAATTAATTATTAAGTGTTTGTTATTTGTATTTATGGGTTTTTATGTATTTTATTCTGTTTTGTTCACTTTTTAGATGGCGGGTAACTCGAACAGATTGTGCGACCAAATACAAAGATGGCTGCTGGAGGATAATGACGACGACAACATTTCGAGCGAAAGTGAGGAAGGCGGAGAATCCGCGGAACAAAGTGGCCCGCTTGGATCTCCTCACCATTCTGATACGGAACAAGATGGCGAGGAAGACGAGGACGAAGATAAAGACGTGCATCTATCGACTTTGGCTTCCTATCAGTCTCGTAATGGTACAAAATGGAGCAAGATTGCACCGTCCACTTCAAGAACCAGATCTCACAACATTTTAGTCCGTCCACCAGGCCCAGTAGGTGTAGCAAAAGACGCTAAAACGGCTCTCCTATCATTCCTGCTGTTTTTTCACGCTGATATTTGGAACGTACTTGTTGATTCAACAAATATTTATATTGATATCATAAAAAGCAAATACCAAAGAGACAGAGATGCGTCTCATACCGACGTGATAGAAATCAAGGCACTTTTTTGATTTGGTCGGTGTGCTTTTTGCAGTAAGGCTCGCGACCGTGGCACGCGCAAGCAATGCAGCAAATATATGAGGCGTATTTGTAGCGAACATCAGGCAGTCGTGTGCCCGGAATGTATGCCAATAGACTGATTTATTACCCGTTACTTTGATAATAGATTCAATTAGATTAAAATAAACGCCTTTTGTGATAAATATTACGTTCCTAAATGAAAATAAGACTAAGAGAACTCAACCCTTCCAAATATTTGTTGATTTTTAAGAAGTTTATGTTTAAGTTTCAAATTATAATAAAGAATCTAAATTTTGTTGATTTTATGAGCCATTTTGATAAAAATAAATATGTTTAGTAATTATATGCTGTGTTTTACTCATTTTTTTGCCTTATTCAGAGAAATAATTGACCCATAAGTGGCCTACACCTGTAGCCCGCGCGTGCGCTTAAGGAGTATTTATGGGCGCGTGCACTCTAGTGTTAAGCGACATAGGGAGTAACCAATATTGAACCGGCGCTTAAATTTTACCACTTCTGTATTTCTACCAAATTTTCTTTTTTTTTTTACACTAGCAACAAAAAAAGAAGCACTAGCAACGCCACTAATACTCCGCCATTTTGTAGCGCCCCTTTTTGTACCAATATACTACACCAAATAGTGTCATTTTGGTAGAAATACATAAGTGGTCCAATTTAAACGCTGGTTCAATATTGGTTATTCTCCCCTATACTCTGTAGTATTTTATTAATAGACATACCTATTTTTTATATATCCGCTCGTATGCCCCTGTCATGGCGCCCGCGGCGTCCAGAGTGCCCGCGACTCGCGAGCGAGACCGTCTAGATTGCCCCGGCACAAATACCGACCACCCGTAAAGTGCCCCACTGTTTTTTGCGTTATCGACGCGCGCGCCGTGTTCCACTTAATCGGTTCTTGTGACTAAAGTTTGTATTGAAAGGGTGTCAAGTGTTATATTTATTTAGTTGCCTATGAAATTAGCTAAACAATGTTATCTTTCTATTTACAGATTACGGCTCTGGTGTTGAGTTACACTGTGTTGAAATTGAGTTAACGTCTTTTTAAGCTCGTGTTGCACTTCGAAGCTCATAGTTCAAAAATGAAAGCGATGACCTATGGTTTTTAATGTTTAATTATGTTGTTTAGATAGTAGTTAATATGTTATGAAATAAAACCATATACTCTCCCATACATATTTATTTATTTACAGGCCTCTAAATCCTTACCATTATCGGCCGCCACGCGGCATAATTTATGTAAGATGAAATGACAGAAGTTTTATGACGTATAATTCTTTTTTTTACTAGTGTTTGCATGCTCGACTGAGATTAATACCATAGATAATATATCAGACTATAGAAAAAATATTACTAAAGAGCATTATGTCAATACAATTACTGTCAAATACTAATTAATCTGTGGCAGGAGCCATGTAGACTACCGGTCTACACGGGCACTTTACGGTTTTATTTTTGTAGACTACTAGTCTACACGGGCACTTTCCGTTTTTATTTTTGTAGACTGCTAGTCTACACGGGCACTTTAGGATTTCGTTTTTGTAGACCACTAGTCTACATGGGCATACTAGCGGATATAGATCTAAGTTAGCAATAATTGTTAGAGAAATGTGTGTCAACGTTCAAATGTATTGTTATAAAGATCTTATGTTCCAATAGTAACTACTTCTTAAGCCATATTTTATAAACCCCTAATACCCAGTATGTAGTATTTGTTTGTAAATAAATAGTTGTAAATAAACAAAAATGTTTCATTTTGCCGTTCTGTTGCCTAATAGACGTGTAGAATCATAGAGATATAAGCATAGAGTGAAAACGGGTTACAGCTGCCTGTGAGTGGAAGCGATAGATGCAACGAGAGAGATGGATGCTCGATAATTCCCTCTCTCTGTTTAGCTTGGCTCTCGTGAAGTGGGCATGGTTTTGATCGTAGAACAGGCGGGAGATTAAAAATTACGCTAAGTAATTGGGTGTAAATAATTCAAACACAAGTGACCTGACCTATTACAACGAAATAATAGCTTAAAAACGGTTTTCTGTGCGACCGTGGAGCAGCACACGGTATCACTCCGGTCGAACTGGCGCATTTGAGGAGCATGTCTCCCCTATGGTAGATTTATTAGAATGAAGTTCCTTATCGCGCGTTACACGTATTGTGCGGATGGGACCAAGACCGAAAAATGTGTAACGAGACTTTTTGCCGACACTATAGCAAACGTCTACCAAAAAGCGAAAGTAACTTCGTTCCGACCGGGGTCTATAGACCCCTCACGCCCGTTTTCCTATATCTTAGTTTATTTGCCATTTCTTCTCATAAGACTCAACCCATTAGAAACGGGCAGTTGTAGATCGGCACAGGCATAGATTTTTGTTAAGTATAATTTAATTATATTTATTTTGATAAATATTTTACAAAACGAGAGATTGGTAAATACAAGTGCTGCCGCCTGGTGTTCAAAATGTAAACTAGTGAAAACGGGTCAACTGTCATTATCATCAGCCTATCGCAGTCCACTGCTGGACATAGGCTTCTCCCATTGTACGCCACTTAGATCGATTTTGGGCTTAATGGTATAGAGAACTATAATCAGCAAAGCAAAGCTCGGTCATCCAGAAGGTCAATTCTCGTAATAAAAGTTCGGTCTTAACCGATCAACTTTCGACAATCCTTTTATGAAAAAGGTATTTTTGTAGTAAAGTATTAAACGTCCAACGTTGACTGTAATGTGATTATATTGTAACTAAAAATTGAATCGGTAATCTGCTAGTCTGAGTAATACTTTACTATTTTACTCCGAAAATACCTTTTATGACAGTTGTGAGATCAAGTTATTTTTTTTTATGAAAAGACAACTCCGCATTAGGAATATATCGTGTCGCGGGGGACTTTACAGTTGATCGAAACTGAATTGAAACCTCTTTTCTAAGGAGAGACCTATGTCCAGCAGTGGACTGTTAAAGGCTGTTGATGTGATGTGATGTGTGTGATGAATTGAGACTGTGCTGTTATTACGAGAATTGGCCTTCAGGTACTGACATTAATCAGCCGACCCGTTTTCGCTAGTTAAAGTAGTCACCAGTTGGCGTGATTGCAACTCACACACTCAAACATTTTTTTAATGAAATAAAGGTATTTTTAGTTCATTATATATTATTATTATTGTATATATAATTGTTCAAACTTAATATTTGATAATAAACAAGAAATTTTCGGGAGCAAGTAACAGCGTACTCCTATCTCAAAACTTTCTATCATAAAAAAGTTGAGAACGAGTAAAAAAATGACGGATTAAGAATACGGAGTGTCACCACCCCTATTCATCCCGTGAGAGCCGACTAAGGGAGCAAACTACGCACAGGACAACAGCACTGCAAAGAGAAGGAAACTTGGCACAAACCCCATACCAACCTCCCTGGCCAGCATGGTGGACTGTTAAAGGCTGTTGATGTGATGTCGAAAAAAAACAACTTTTGTTTGTAATAAATAATTTATGTACAACATTTTTTATTACATATATATATATATATATATTATATAATTATTACTACCTACTTACTGATTTAGCTGGATATCAGAACTATATTTTCATCACCTAGCTATTCTGTATTTTCATCATCCGGTGATGTAGAAGTTGCTGGTGTATCTGCACTCTAATTAATTGACTTAACGTTTGGCACATCACTATTGCAATATTGTAACCTTAGAGGTCACGAGTTTGATTCCCGTTTAGCATGAATTAATTGTATAAATAGTATAACTATTTTCATTGTCTATGTGTATTTTATATATTTGCATATAGTGTAAATAAATATTATCTCCTTCAGCTAAATAGTCGATAAGCCCAAAGCTTTAGTACAAAAATACATTATTTTATAAGTATAACAAATGCGGCGGTAAGACCCTTTATGGAGGATTGGCTCGAGAGGCGTCACGGAACCCTCTCATAACGGCTGACGCAGGCGATCACCGGGAGGGGTTGTTTCGGAGATCACCTGTGTCTGATCCTCAAGGAGCCAACGCCTGAGTGCCACCATTGCGATGGCCGGAATGTGGACACGGCCCTCCACACTGGTGGCCATCGGACTGCTTTATTGAGTTCTAAGCCTGCGGTGTATGGGGGTACGGAAGTAGAACGAGAACGGGGAGCATTTTTGTCACGCTACGAACGCCCGCGGTCGAGGACTCTATATATCTATAGTAATAAACTTGTTTATCAGTAGCAGTACTATAGGTCTGGGTCTGGCGACCGATAGTTCTGGGTCTGGAGACCGTGTGAGGTAATAAATGTTTGATAAATGCTTAATTATTTAAAGTTAAAACATAATTTAGAAACGATATACATTATACGTATAGATTTCCTAATTCCATTCACACCTTGTAGGGCAACACAGTGTTAGACGCTATTTATTAATTTTGTAAAACTGAATAAATTCAATCGAATTTATTCAGTTTTAAAAACTTTAATCAGGAGTCTAGTTTTGGTACCCTCCCGTCTTCAAACAAATGATAATACTGTTCTCCGAGTTCCTCAACGTCTCTGACATTGAACGGTCTATCCTTAAACTTCCAATGGACTTTTTTGAAGTGATGCCTCATATCCCGTACCATGTAAAACATACTATCACATAACGGACAGCATATGGTTTTATCTAAATGTTTCTTTAACCGGTGTGTCTTCATCATACTGGAAGACCTGAATTTCTGTCCGCATATGTCACAAGAATATGGCAGCTCGCCCGTATGCATCCTGAAATGCATTTTTAGACACACTCGATTTGCAAATTTCTTGAAACAAATGGAGCAGAAGCAATTATTATCATTGGTGTGAGTTGCTACATGTTCTTTTAAGCGAATTTTCCCACAAAAATCTTTGTTACATATCTGACAAACATATGGTTTAATTTTTAAATGATATCTGTTCATATGTGCTTCTAAATCATGCTTTTTTCTAACAATATGGCCACATATCTGACATTCAATCATAGGCAGCTTTGCTACTATTTTGCCTTTCTGTTTATCTGATGAATCACCGTGAACCTGCTCCATATGTCTTTTTAAACTTGAAGGCTTGATGATTTTGTCACATTGAGGACAGGGCTCCGGGTCGAGATGAATCTTTTGGTGGAACCGTAAGAGAGATTCCAGATGGAATGCCTTTCCACAAACTTCACAAACATGTTTTAATGCACCCTCTCTTTTATACGGACACCGGACAGCATGTTGTGAGTAGAACGAGGCAGCCACTTTCTTATTACAACGGAGACATTTAATTCTATTTGTGTAATGCCTTTGACTATGAATGTACAGTTTCATTAGACTTTTAAACTGTTTAGGACACTCTTTGCATGGGTATACCTCATTCTGGTCATGAAGTTTCTCATGTTGTAATAACTCTTTGATATTTTTAAATAACAAGTTACACAACGAACATTCAATACGCTTTCTTCTTTTCTTGCACTGGATACCTCCGTGGACTCTTGCATGGTGTTCTTCTAGTTCCAGATCGGTTAGGAACTTACTCTTGCAAAGATTGCAAGCATAAACACTTTCGTTATGTCTCAAATTCTCGTGGGTAGTTAATTCTTCTTCAACATCAAACGATGCTACGCAATGAATGCAGCTGAAAGCTCTTATAACAGACTTGCATGCTTTTTTGTGATTTTCCAAACTGTGTTTGTCTTTGAATTCAAAATCGCAGTACTCACAACTAAATTCTTGATGGAATTGTACTATATGAGTTTTTAAACTTAACTTGGTGTAGAACTGTTGACCACAATCAGCGCAAGTGAATGGATGATGATCTAAATGTTCTCTGTTCACATGACCTATTAAATGTTCCTTTCTTCTAGTGACGTAATCACAATCTATGCATTTTATTTTGTTAGCGTGATTCAGTGTTTGTTCTCTATACGACATTAAATACTTATAATGAACGCAAGGCATCACAAAGCACTCGGAGCAAGCAAACTTGCATTTATGTTTCTTGATTTCACCGTCTTTGAAATTCTTTAAGCACATGATACACTGCGATTTTGTTTTATTATTGTTTACTAAATGGCTCAAATTGAAATGCGTTATCAAAGAGTCCTGGCTGTAGTACACCAATTCACAGAATTTACAAGGAAATACCAAATATGCATGGTTTGCTCTCAAGTGTTGCATGAGTTCGCCTTCAGGTAAAATTACTTGGCAAAACTTACACTTGGCTTTTGAATGTGTTTTGTAATGTATATTCAAATATTGCCGTGTATTATAAGATTTATTACACAAGTTGCAATGGAAGACAGATTTCTTATGTTTAGCCTTCTCATGTTCCTTCAAAGACCTATAAGTGGTAAAGATTTCTGGGCAACTGGCACATTCATATGTATTAAACCGTGGAGTTAAATTCCTTGCCGAGTTTAACGGTTTTATAATAATATGACCTTCTTTTAAGGTAATATTTGGAGTATCATCAGATTTTAAAGGTTTGGGGGTTGATATTTTTGTGATAGGTTCTTTTGGAATTGGTTCAGTTTGGGATGATTCAACTTTTTCAATAGCAGGGCACTTGGGTTCTTCTATCTTCATGGCTATATGGGTAGCAGTTGGGACGATCTCTGTCATCTTTGTGTCCATAATAGTTTTGCATAATTCTGTGTCAGTTTCTAGAACAATCATGACATTTGCATTCTCGTAGTCAGCTAAACTGCTGGAGTTGCCTATTTGGTCATTGACATCAATGACCTTAGAGTATAAATCTGTGACGCAGTTGTTTATTATTCTTGAGAGTTGTTTTGTGTTGTGTATGAAGAGGTAGCATTGAATAATTTTTTCTGTGCAAGTGTCACATAAATAATGGCTTGACATAAAATTTTCAATCTGTAACAAGAAAGTTTTTTTTAGGGTGCTTTTGAAGGAATGCTGAACACGTTGATGCCCCAAGAGTTAGTAGAACTGCAGTCTGTTTGAGGTAGGTCAGGTTGGTATTGCAACCAACAATAATGCCAGAATCAAAATGCTTGCGTTGTAGTAGTTGAACCAAATGCCGTGTGTGAGGTGTCTCAAATTACCATCTGCGATACCTCATATACAGCACTCTTTTAATTTTGATATTCTTTTAATTATTCTGACACACCTTTTTTTTCTGTGCGGAAATCCTCTCGGATACCACCCACCGGTGACTATGTCGGATTCGAACCGACCAAAAACCGCAAGCCGTCTCAGCTACCAGCAGCCGGGAACCAGGTGTACACTATAAAGGCAATGCCTGGTACCCCGACGTACGTCGGGCATCTCCGGCGGGTAGATGACCCCCTCCTGTGTGGGAACCTCGATGTTCCCGTATGCGAAAGGGCGCGTCCGCCCTGCAACGCGTCTCGCTACCACCCCGGCCTGCTTCTGCTAGGGTGACAGATGGCCTCACCTGTCCCCCCCAGGCCTGCGCTTATGGAGGACGAAGGTCGTTATTCTGACACACCTAAGTACTTACATCATCATTAAAAACATAGTTTATGATATCCTGAAGACATCTGGAAAAGTTCTGCTTGTTTATAACCAGCTCCATTTCTACAGAACAGAAGTTGCCGGTATTCTCCAAACACAGGCCGCAGAACTTTGGTGAAGCCCATATTGACTTTATTTTATGTTTCAGCCATTCCAGGTTGTTGGGATCAGTTTGATTTGTAACTATGTTCACCATTTTTATTAATGTTTAATCTGAAATAAGAAATATATATTTTTAACAAGTGACTGTGAGTGATTACCTGACGATTAAGCTAGAGGTTGTGGGTTCGATTCCCACCCAGGACAAATGATTGTGTGAAGAGCATGATCATTTGTTCTGTCTGGGTGTAATTTATCTATAATATGTATGTATTTAGAAATATATAAGCATGTTTACCAACAGTCTGGTTACCATAGTACAGGTTCTTGCCTAGTTTGTGATCAGACAATTTTTTTTGAGGTGTTATAAGTTTGATGTGCCTGTGTGTGTGTGTGTGTACTCCCGACTGATAAACCGATTTTGATTTTTTTTGTTTGAAAGGTTAACTATATTTTTTTATTTTTTTCAAATTTTTTATTTATACTGGTACTCGACTACTATTAATATTATTGAATGTATCTTTTAATAAGCAACAGCAACTATATATTGCCCAGGGGTGGACCCATTGGTCTGGTGATTAGTAATTTTAACTGCTAACCCAGAGGTTCTGAGTTCCATTCTCACCCAGAACAAATAATTGTACAACAAGCTTAACTACTGGTTCTGTCTGGGTTTAATTTATTTACAATATGTATGTATTAAGAAATCTGTCTGTGTGGGATTAAGAGAGTGGGTGTCGTAAGAGCAGACAAGGGAGCCAACTCTGCAGAACAACACCACTGCAAAGAGAAGGAAAACTTGAAACAAACCCTTTACCAACCCATCTGGCCAGCGTGATATAGTATCAAGGCATAGTAGGTAGGGGTATAGTATCTAGGTAGAGACAGGGGCCTCTCCTTAGAAAGGAGGTTTTGGCCTAAAACCTCCTTTCTAACGAGAGGCCTATGTTCAGCAGTGGACTACTAAAGGTTATTGCTGTGATGATGTGATTAAGAAGTATACAAGTATGTTTATCAGAAGTCTAGATACGACAGTACAGGCGCACCTAGCTAAGAATCAGATGGCTGCATGTGAAGTGTGTAAGCCAGTTAGAGATTTTAGGCTGCCCATTTTCTTCTGTATTCTAGGCTTTATATTTCCTATTTATGATGATAAATAATACCTATTTATCTATCTACATAAGTGGTGTTTTTATTATTTTAATACAAAGAGAATTTTGATTTGTAAATGATTTTCCACATTTGTCCTAACAATAAAAATAAAAGCCTGACTCTAAAACTTTGTAATTTTTTTTCTTTTTATGGTAGAGGGGGCTAACAAGCAGATGGGTCACCTGATAGAAGGTGACCACTGCCGCCCATGAAAACCTCACGAGTCACAAACGCATAGCCACCCTTTTGGGAAGGAGTACACTCCCCTGTCCACCAGCATAAGAAATATACATTTCCAACGATTGTTTTCATACTTCTCATCGTCACATCTAATTGCTAATAGCTGATGCAGCTTCCTATTACTGAGTATACTATAGTTCTAATGTTTTCAAAATTGGCCTTTAGTATGCCTCTCTGCAAGGTACATGTCACATCGGAAGAAAGAGATTATTTCAAGTAGCAGTAAACCCAGTGTGTAGATGCAAAATTGGTCTTTAGTACCCTTCTCTGCCGTGCCAATCCAAAACACTGTAACTTTTGGAAACGACTTTTGACTTTGAAAGTTTTGTTACAGTTTTTTACCATGTCAAAACCCTAGTTTCAATACAATACAGTATTTTTTACATTATTATCTCTTCTAAAATACACTTTAGAATGACAAAAGTGTTGATCAGGGGTACTAAACCGACGTAACGAAACTGATTGAGCGTTGTTAAGGCAAAATACTTAGTCGAGTTACAGTCTTTTGGATTGGCACGGCAGTTCTCTGCAAGGTACATAAACAGGTCATTGTCATTGAACAACAGTGTCATATCGGAAGAGAGATTATTTTAAATAACAGTAAGCCCAGTGTGTAGATAATTCCAAGGTACATCTTGTTTTCTGACAACATTGTCACTTTATACAAGTGGACAAAAAATTAAACAGAGTTAAACATTTCATAGCTCAAATTATTCTGTTATTTAGCTTTGAAGATTTGCCGCTAGAAATATGCTTAAGTTTTTTTTATGCATAACATTGGTATCTGTACTGTACTTTTGGTGCTAAAAATATCAACATCTTCGTCAAGCAGTATCAAATTTTTGAAAAAGTAAAACTAAGGTTATATTACGTTCAGTACAAAATGGCGTTGCATAGCTGAGCTATCGGTTTTAAAAATTCTAGAGGTATTTTAAAAGCTTAAAGTAGATATTAAAGTAGATATTAAAAAAATATAAAAACCATTATTAGCTTACCTTCTCTTTTCACGTTCCAGATTCTCACTTGTTTGACTGATAAAAGTAGCTTGAACCCAATAAATGACATTCACTCTGCTGCGTTGCGCTTTTCCAAAGATGGATAAAATTATTAAATAGGTATCGTTTTTTCATGCGTAGCCTAGCCGTAGTTTTATAATAGTTGGGTAGAAATAAGCATATTTGATATCTATTTTATTAAACAATAAAACGAAAATACATTTAAGTTTTCACAAAAAAAAGGATATGACATGGAACGTTTTTGAACAATTTCCAGTAACTGCGCGTCGTCCCACTCCGCGCCCTTCTGCTAAAAAACCTCCATGTCACTATAGTATGAAACGCTACCAACCAAAAGAACGTATTTAGGCGATTATTTTATTTAAAATTATTATTAACATTATTGTCGTCAGATATTATTAAACTGTTTGCAATATATTACGAATGCAAAAAGGGTTTTAAATAAAAAAAAAACGGGGTTTAGAAAATGAAATATACATTTTAAGATACTAAAAAAGAACGTTCCAATAACCAGAAGTTGAAGTTGAAGAACGTTTACATTGACAGACATTTGACAGATATCACCAGAAAAAGTTTTGAAAACTGTGTAGTGTTTATACTTGTGTAAAGAGTTTTGAAAGCCATTCCCGCTGACTTTTATTTCTTTAAATACTAAAAATGGATTTAAAACATATAATATTAAATCCCGATAAAATCAAAAATGTATGTTGTTTGTGTTTTAAGGAGACTGAGCACCTAATAGGTTTACATGATGACATAGAAATTCACGATGAATATATAAATTTTAATTCATCTTTAAGTAGAATTATGAAAAATCTATTTCCCTCACATGTAAGTATTGCGTTTATGTAAGTAATTTGTAAAATAGAATATCATTCTAACGGTCTTATAGTTTGAAAGTCAATTCAAAATCAAAATTTTTGCTGGCTCATTTCTATGCATGAGTTTACTTTTCTTATAATTCAGATAGTATGTAATAAATAGTGTAAGAATCTGTATCTGTTATTAAAAAATACCAACTACATATCTTCCCCTTTCACACAGCATTTAATTAACACCACATTGTAGTGAGCATCAAGGGCCTTTCATAGTCCACTACTAAATATAGGCCTCTCCTTAGAAAGGTTTTGGCTTACTACACCAAGCTAGCTAGACGGGTTGATATAGGGTTTGTATCAAGTTTTCCTTCTCTTTGCAGTGTTATTGTCCTGCATAGTTTGCTCCCGTAGTCGACTGTTACAACGCCCACTGGATGTACATCACAGACTATCATTTAACCGTTAAAAAAGTTTATGATTATTTACGCTATCAAATAAAGTATTTAAGATAATAATGACTGAAGGGTTTTATATTTTGAAACTTAAATACTGTATTTATTATATAAAAAGTCAAAATAAACCTAGGTTTATTTTGACTTTTTATATAATATATATACAGTATTTAAGTTTTTAAAAAATTTAAGTTGTTTATGGATTCCCATAAACAACTTAAATCTTTTAAACTTGGCTAATATACTGTGGTCTATACAAAGCATATGTAATTAACATTTTTATTAACCTGACTGCTAAACTGGAGGTTGTGGGTTCGATTTCCCATCCCAGAACAAATATTTGTGTGATGAGCATGATCATTTGTTCTGTGTCTGGGTGTAATTTATCTATAATATGTATGTATTTAGATATATATAAGTATGTTTATCAGCAGTCTGATTACCATAACACAGGCTCAGCCTAGTTTGGGATCAGACAGCCTTGTGTGAGATGTGTGAGGTTATTATTTTTTTTATTTTTTTTCAGGATATTGTATTAACACACATGTGCGACAACTGCTCAACTTTAGTATTGAAAGTATTCAACCTCTTTCAAAAAAGTCTCATCAAAACAGATATATTAAATTATTTAGTTAATAAATTAGATCAAGAAATAGACGAAGTAGAATGTGAATTATATTATAACAGTAAAGTTAAGAAATGTAGACTTAATATTAACTTACCTACTAATGAAAATGTTTTACCTAAAACTGAGGATCAACAATGTGTAAAATGTCCTATGAAGTTTAAATCAAAGTTTTTACTAAAGAAACACATACATATAACACATAAGAATACAAATAACGCAATAATTTGTGATATTTGTGGTAAAATATTTACTAAAAATTCATCACTTGTGTCTCACCTTAGATGTCATAAACAAAAGCAATGTCCCTACTGCCTTAAAACTTTGAAGTCTCATTCGCATTTTAATATACACATAAAAAATCACACAACCCAATTAAATATTAAAAGAAATCCTAAATTCTATGATTGTGTTCATTGTGACTACCATAGTCTTAATAAGTGTACTTTAGAAGCACATATAAACAAAGTTCATTTAAGTATCAAACCATTTACTTGTGAAGTATGCAAAAAAGGTTTTTACAAAAAGGATAATTTAGTACAACATTTAATAACACATAATAAAATAAAAGATAAAACATGTTACATCTGTGGCTATACATTTGGTGTAGAAAAAACTCTACAAGAACATTTGAAATTGCATTCTGGTCAGAAACCTTTCAAATGTGATATTTGTAATATAGGCTTTATAACATCTGGTCGGAGACATGAACACATAAAAAGGAAACATATGGAAAAAAAAGAAACTTGTGTGATCTGTGGTAAAAAGTTTAGTTTGAAAAAGGATCTGAACACACATTTGAAGAAAGTCCATTGTACAGAAACTGAAAATGTTTTGAAAACGGGTAATCAAGACAATACACAAGGTTTTGAGATGGTTAAAGTTATAAATTATAAAACATAATGAATAAAAACAATAAGACTTTTATTTCAAGCTACATCCATTTGTTGGTAAATATTATCTATCTTAGTACCTAATTTGTTGGATATTAAATATGATTAATTGCATTTCAATGTGTAGCTATTGGATTTAAAAAAAAATTTTAAGCAACCAAAAAAAGGAGGTTATCAATTCGGATGTTTATATATTTTTATGTAAGTTTTGGGCATATATAGACAGATTTGCAAAATTCTTTTTTTGTTCGAAAGGGGGTCCGATTTATATAGACTGCCCGTATCGTCCGGCAAGCGTTCGACAATCGCCGCTGCCTTACGCCTCAGGACCGTGACCGAAGAGGCGATAAGCCACGGCGGCGTGCTGTTGGCGGTGTTGTTGGACATCGCCAACTCATTCAATAGTCTGCCATTCAGCTGCATCAGGGAAGCACTCCACTACCACGGAGTGCCAAAGTACCTGAGGCGGCTAATGGCAGACTCTTTAGAGGAGCGACCCTTCATGTTCGAGGACCGAGATGGTGCTTTGTGTCGTCGGCCCGTGTCGTGCGGTGTTCCGCTATAGACTGGGTCCTTTGATGTCGCTTGCCGCCCGGGCTCTGCGTAATCTGTTACGCTGACGACACTCTAGTCACACCCCGGTTTGCGAACTTCCAAGAGGCGGTGCGCCTGGCCACCACGGAAGTCTCTCTGGTGGTCGGGCGCATTGAGGCGCTGTGCTTACGGGTGGCCCGGGACAAGACGGAGGCCCTCCTATTCCATGGGCCCCGTCGTGGTCCACCCGCTGGCGCCTCAATCGTGGTCAACTCGGTCCTCGTACTGGCTCAGGCCCAGATGAAGTATCTGAGTCTGATCCTCGACGGGAGGTGGTGACGTGGTGGTTTCGACGAGGACTTCCGACAGCTTGCTCCAAAGTTCTGAAGTATCTGCACTCGGTCGCTAAGATGGAATTTAGTCCCGCCTGTCACCACTGCGATTGCAGTGTGCTCAGCACACGCTGGCTCGGCTTGGGCGCCGCAGCGCTGGGTCCTCATCTCAGTCATCGGGGGATCTCTCGCTACCGGCCGTCATACGCTCCATGGCCAGTTGTGACAGATGTTTCACCGCGGTAGCATCCTTCTGCAAAGATGTCATTTCGACAAACCAATGACAGTGCTCATCACATAATTATTTGTCTTGGGTGGGGATCGAACCCACGACCTCCGGCTCAGCAGTCAGGGTTACTAACCACTTAACCAACAGGCTAGGCAGTTTTTGCTTCAAACTCGATGGTTTTTGATAAGAAACTATCGTTCTATGCGTAGTCCGTGTGGTGACGGATTAAGAACACGGTGTGTCACCACCTCTATTCTTCCCGTGGGTGTCGTAAAAGCCGACTAAAGAAGCAAACTACGCAGGACAACAGCACTACAAAGAGAAGAAAAACTTGAACCATACCTTACACCAACCCGTCTGGCCGGCGTGGTGAAGTAGCCCAAAACCTTCTTTATAAGGAGAGGCCTATGTCCAGCAGTGGACTATTAAAGGTTGGGAGGTAAGTAAAGGATGAAAGAAAGACTCAAAGGGCGGCAGCGGACTTGTGACCCTGGAGTTGCAGGCGTCCATGGACGGAGGTAGTTACCATCGGGTGACCATTTGCTTCTATACCACAAACAATATATAGGTGTCTAGGTTGACTGCATGGATGACGTAGTGGTTTAAGCGGTCGCCACGCCGATTCCTACTGCGCTGAGTGTTGTGGGTCCGATCCCCACATGGGACGACACTTTATGTGATCCACAAATTGTCTGGGTCTGGGTGTTCTTTGTGTCCGTTTCATGTATGTTTGTAAAGTCCCCCGCGATACAGGATTTACTCCTAATGCGGGAGTTGTCTTTAATAAATTAAAACACTCAGCAAATGTAACTTATATTTATTTTTATAAAAAATAAGGTACAAAAGGACATTTAATAGTTTTAACAAAATTTATCAAATTAACTCCTCTATTCTATTAATAAATATACAAAATACGACAGTGTAATGAGTATTATCCATTAAAAGTTTTACAAATAATTTTGCACTGGTTTTGTACATCACAATATGGATTCTAGCTTTTGTATAACGTAGTTGGCTAATATGTAGGATTATACTACAATTTTAAACCTAATTTAAACTAATGGGTTACATTTAAACAAGTAAAGATATGACATGTATATACAAGGTTACAAAAATATCCAGATTTTTTATTGAATATGTACTATGTAAATTATGTATTCAATTTAATTAAATTAATAAATGGTAGTTTTCGTGTTAAATGTAACACGAAAACTACTACATTACATTAGTCGATTCTGATTCATTACATGAATACATTAGTCGATTCTGGGTAATCGACTAATCCCTGATGGTATGTTGTACTTTTGTAATCTCGTAGAATGACATTCATTTATTATTTCTAAAGTGATACTGTAATAAGTTATTATTATTACATAGTATTTTAAGTAAAAGGAGAAAATAGTAGTTCTGAAGCTTGGTTCAATATTATCTAGCTAAGATATTACGTCTATGTAAATATATTTTAGTAACAATTGGTAACTATATTCGGTAACCATTCATTATGGTGCTTATGCTACTTAATTAATCGTTGATTATATTAAAAACAAATTTTTATTCGAAACTTCATAGTATATAAGGTTCCATTCGGATCTTTTTTATTCGCATTAGTGTAAATATGCATTCCGTTATTGAACACTGAGTTCTACAACGATCCTTATTTACTTTAAAGCATATATACATAAAGTTACATAACAAACTTGTTTTTTACAACTGTTTTTATTAAGATTTTACGAAATATTAACATAAGAATCTAACTTCGTAGTGAATGAAAGAGTTTAATTCAAAACTGACATTAATAAAAATCGACTAAGATATCGCATAATTTTAGTAATCAGTTCATTGTAAATTTTGCGTCGTGGTGTCGGTGATGTGTTTAGTATTGGTATCCACCTCCTTGGCTTGGGGGGGCATAGGCCTGACCCCCACTACCGGTACTGCCACTGCCAGTGCCGCTACCGCTGCTGTAACCGTTGCTGCTGCCGCCGCCGCTACCGCCGCCGTAGCCGGCCGGGCTGCCAGCGGCGGGGTATCCGCCTGCTGGTGGGTCAGGATAGCGAGCCTCACCCTCGTAGGTCACCTGATTTTAAGAATGGAGGTTAATAAACATGAAATGATTATTAAACAAAAACTTGTAGGTTTTTTTTTACCCAAATTTTCAAACCCTTTATTTTGACACCCCACTTGACGTGCTTGGGAGAAAGATATATGAAAAACATTTTATGTTTTTAACTTACTTTAAAAAAAGGAGATGTTTGCCTCAGAATTCCTTCATTTATAATCCGTCTTGGTAAATGGAAATAAAAATCGATTCTGCTGTTTTTAGTTACGAGGAATACAGAAACCAGCAAATGTGTAGATCAAACACAAAACATAACTTTTTTCTAGGCTTTGGATTGTAAGTTAGTAATATACGTAGTAGAAGGGATTATGAATCTGCTTGATACTATACCCATCCAAATTACTATATTTACACGTTGAATTTTAGTAACTTATGAAATAGGAGCACAACACTTGGAAAGCCTAGTGACACGTTTCGTAGAAGTATCTTACTAAGTAATTTTTTTTTTTTATAATAATTGCACACACTTCACACACGACAGTCTGATCCTGAACTAGATAGCCTCCATGGTAATCAGATTTCTGATAAACATACTTATATATTTCTAAATCCATTTATATTACAGGTTAATTACACCCAGACACAACAAATGATCATGCCCATCACACAATTATTTGACCTGGGTGAGAATCTAATCCAGCTGTCAGGTAGTCAGCCACTAACCACTAAATCAACAGGCATGTTATAAATTAAAAATGTATGTAAATACTTACTTCAGCGTTGAATCCGTTCTTCCAATCCGCGGTGTACTTGACAATCTGCGTGCGTCCGTCAGGAAGGGCCACTCTGTACTCTCCCTTAGTAACATCTCCGTCAGAGATGGCGTTGTGGCTGTAGTCATTACCGTCTTCGCTTACCTATTTTCAAACAGAATGTATTTATAAAATATTTTCAGCTGCGGTTCTGCTTATAACACTCTATCTTAAATATTTCGGCAGTATTGAGATTAATATCGTCATTTGTCGTATGAAACGGGTCCCAGAATTGATCCTTGTGGCACACCACACGATATTGGGATATGGAGCATCCATTGTAAGCAACTGTTACGGTCCATATAATACGATACACACCTATTAAGTGTACCAGGCACTGACTCATGTACATAAATGATAGTGATATATATATTATATATATTTAGATATATAATTATAATTAACCATTTAAGTGTAATAAGAACTGTCAAATGCTTTGGTGATAACCAAAAACAACTTTAACAGCAAACCGAGAACTTTAGCCACAGAAATTTGTGATATTAAACCTCAGTAAACTCAGTAAATTTATACCCGAATGGTTCGCGAAAAAATATTAATTTTATAAATCAAGGATGTTTTTGTTGAACTGAGTATTTGTTGAAATACTGGAAATAGATCAACAGTTATTTCGTACTAACCTGATAAGAGAAGTCGAAAGGCATGCCAGGCTCGTGATGATGGTCTCCAGTACCGTGATCGTGGCTGTGATCATGGCTGTGGTCGTGACTATGATCATGGTTTTGACCATAATCGTATCCTTGGTCAGGCTGTAATAAAATTAGAAAGATACGATAAGATTGTGAGTATACTCGTAGGTCTAAGTGTTTGAAAGTTCTTGTGCTATTTAACACTAGAACTTTCAAAAGACATTAAAATATAGTCAACAGATTATCAGAAATTCCTCAATTCAAGTGATTTGAAAAAATAACGTTATTGTTTCGAAAATTACAAAGAAACTAAGTTGTGGAAGCATAAACTTGATGTACAATATAATAATATCTTTGTGTGATTTTATCGATGTTTTCAAGTGCTGCTAAATAGTTGTTGCTAACACCTATACTACAACTGCATATTATGCATCATGCATCGATATATAACATTATATTATGTGGCCTCGTTATCATCATCATCAACAGCCTTCAATAGTGCACTATTGAAGGCTGTACTCCTTTCTAAGGAGAGGCCTATGTCCAGCAGTGCACTGCTGGACATAGGCCTCTCCTTAGAAAGGAGGTTTTGACCTATTATACTACGGTGGCCAGACGGGTTGGTATAGAGTTTGTGTCAGGTTATCCTTCTCTTTGCAGTTCTGTTGTTCTACGTAGTTTGCTCCGTAGGGGTGGAGAAACTCCGAATACAGAGTGGCATAAGGCCCCCATTTTTTATTTGTAATATTATACCTCTCGCTTACCTACAATCTATGGAAGTTACTTCGCTAAAAGGTAGGCAAGAGTGTAACGGGAAGACGGGGAAGAGATGAAAGAGAGAATAAGAGCGCACTTTGCTACAGCTGGCCTTCAGATGTTAGATATTACACATCATTATGTGACTATTGTAAGACTCGCTCATACTTTTTTAATACGTGGGGTATAACAGTAACTGCAGATTGGTACGTCAACACTTGCTTGCCCAAAGTCTTAGAAAAAGATCGCGAAAAGCGTCCTCGAAGTAATGTCCTCCTTCACCACGATAACGCATCCTCACATTCCACTAAGGTAATAGAAGCCTATTTGAAGGCTTATAATGTGACGCATCCGCCTTACAACCTGGCACCCTGCGACTTCCTTTGTTGCAAAAAAATTAAAGACAAACTTAGAGGCACACGTTTCACGAGCCCTGAATCGGCGGAGAATGCGTACCATGAAGCCATTGAAGAGGTCCCTAAGGAAGACTGCTCCAACTGCTTTATACCGTGGTTTCAGAGAATAAAAAAATGCACTAATTGTGATTGAATATACTTTGAAAAACAATAAATATATCGTGTCCTATATCTAGTTTTATTCATCAGAATCCAGAAACTTTCAGTATGTCCTAAGTATGTGCGCGGCCATCACGAGGTAAATATATATATATTTTTTCTAAATTGAATTTTTATCGCATTATACAATAATAGTGTTGACTTGATCGACACTTTGATCAAACTCAATGAAACAAACTCAAATAAAAAATATTACTACTTGAATTTAAATCCGTCCAGTTTTATTATAATTGGAACATAAAGTTACGAATAATCAAACTATGTGCCGTTTCTGGCCACAGTTGGTTTAAAAATGAAAAAGGGGTTTATTTTTGAATGGCTCTGTTTTTTGGTAAGATTTTTGTTAATAGCGTCTTTGATTTGTCTTTTTATAGAAAGGAAAAGATTTAAATAATTAATTCACACATCACACATCAACAGTCTTTAATAGTCCACTGCTGGACATAGGCCACTCCTTAGAAAGAAGGTTTTGGCCTACTATACCACGCTGGCCAGACGGGTTGGTATAGGGTTTGTGTCAAGTTTTCCGTCTTTTGGCAGTGCTGGTGTCCTGCGTTGTTTTGCGCCCTTAGTCGGCTCTTACGACACCCACGGGATTAATTCGGGTAGTGACATTCCGTATTCTTAATCCGTCACTACACGGACATAATAATACGGAATAATTAATTGGTAAAAAAGTATCATCGAATCCAATGTACCTAAATCATGATTCACGATGAATTGTTAAAATCTGTTTTCACTATTCCTTAATATTTATCCACTATTAGCTTACGCGTTGTGAGAGGGATAGAAAAATACATACAATGTACCTTTATTACAAAAGTACCAATGCGATCAAAGTTGCTATAAAAGTGCTTTGAAATATAATTATCGTAAGTGAAAAAAAAAACAGTAATTCATTTTTTTTATTTACCAGATTGTTCTTTTAATTCTGTTTATTCAATTTATGACGTTGCTGTTTTATTTATTTTCCACTTTTTTTTGCAGGTATACATTATTATTCCTAGATGTGATTGCACAGGCCTTTTAAATGAATTAAACGGAATAGCTTGTGATCTGCGACGAGGTTAGTTTCATTATTTTATTTTACTTAATACCCTATGCTTTTTTAATTAATTAACAATTAGAGTGTATAAGACAGTTTTTGGTAGGTTTTCCAACTTATTTAGTAATTATAAGTAAAGATGTTTGCACAATATGAATCTACCTTCTTTGAAGTTTCCTTCTTTATTTTCACTTGGTCTTGCTTGACAAGTATCGTATTCTTTCACCACAAACAGTAATTCTCGTGGAATTAAAAATAACTTAGACATGTTACACTCAGTTAGAATTCGTAATCGGTCCAAAATATTTTTTACCGGCATTGGGAATTGGGGAACAGTACTTTTGATTGCTGCGCCAGATCCCTTCTAATGTTGTTGAATCATTTGGGTTAGACGAGTTTATAACAGTATGACGTTGGGGTTAAAAATATTTTTGGCTAATTTTATATATATATATATATAGATATATGGAACTTAGATTTATATATTCAGTCTTTATTAGCTACGACTTGTGTTGCCAGTTAAAAAAAGTTTTTTTTTGTTAAATATAGGCATAGTAAAAAAATTGAACCAGATTGAAAGAGGTACAGATATACTTATTTCAATAATTGTATCTGTATTTTTGTGTTGATTTAAAAAAAAAACAAATATGCTTTTATAGACTACGGGGTGCAATTATCTAGTAAGTTAAATTATTTGTTTAGAAGAGTGTATTGTTGTGTTAAATATATCCTTATGGTGGTGACGGATTAAGAATACAGAGTGTCACCACCCCTATTCGTCCCGAGGGTGTCGTAAGAGCCGACTAAGGGAGTAAACTACGCAGAGCAACCACACTGCAAAGAGAAGGAAAACTTGAAACAAACCCTATACCAACCCGTCTGGCCAGCGTGGTATATTAGGCCATCACCTCCTTTCTGAGGAGAGGCCTATGTCCAGCAGTGGACTAGTAAAGGCTGTTGATGATGATGAAATAATATAAGATAATAATTATTAAGTTATGATTGTTACCATAATATTCAATTTCAATATACAAGACAGCTTTCTTATTATATAGGTGGGCAAATGATCTTAATACTATCCAACGATTTATTTATTAATTTGTTGTGTAAAAACTGTGTCTGTGTGTAATTTATCTACCATATGTGTGTATTTAGAAATATTTAAATATGTTTATCAGCAGTCTGGTTACCATAGTACAGGCACTGCCTAGTTTGGGATCAGATAGCCGTGTGTGAGATGTCTGACGTCATTATTGGCCTTCAGATGATAGCTGACATCTCATACATAATATGTGAGAAATATAAGACCCGTTCGTTTTTATTATAGGTATTGAAGACGATGCAACACACAAAAGCCGAAAACGTAAGTTAAAACAAAGTGAAAATAAGAAGAATGTTAGAATAAGAAGCCATTTCCTTCGAGCCTTTTTCCAAACTACGTATTTGTGACATTTTCAGAACTAGCACATACCTTTTTTTTTTAACGCGGGGAATGCTTTTCGCACCATACCCTCCGTTGGGGAAACGCAGGGCGTGTGTGGGACTCCCGGAGAACCGGTTAACCCACTAAACCTCGCGGCTGCCTACCTCGGCAGTCAGGAGGAGCTCCAGAAACGCTTCGGCGGCTTCTGGAGTCCAACTGAACTGCCACATACCTGTAGTATGGCACCTCTAGATTCACAAGTTAGTATTTAAGGGCAAGAAATATTCACCACTAGCGAGACGAGAACAACCAGAAATAATATGCCTGATTGATTACCCAGGACGGTGGCATGCCCGACAGATGTCAAACGTACCATCTTTCAGGATTTATTTCCGATAGTTATTCGTCATGATAACTTCGTACATTATCGCACAATCAAAATCTTCAGTTTTTCCGAAGAGATCATCGTATTCTAGGCAAGTCGTGGATGCTTTTAAGTCTATATCGGACCAACCATGGCGCTCTTTGCCCTTCCATACTTCCCTGCGATCATTAGTTCTAAGTACTACAGGTTTGCGCCAATTCTTTTTAGCCAGAGCGAGCGGAGTGAGCGGAGTGAGAGCGCAACTACATTGCGATGCACTCCCACGTCAGTATGTAGAAAATATTCTCTGAGATTGTATATCTCGCGATTGTGTAGGGTTTTGATATTTAATAGTCTGCAACCTCAAACTTACGCGAGATATACAATCTCATAACCGATGAACGTGGGTGGTGCATTCGGAATGCAGTCAGCAGCATACGAACTCTCCTATCAAGGGCATCTAAATCGATCTGAGGTCATCTAAATATACTAAAGGAATAGATCAGAACCGGCATAACCCAACCATTGCAGGCTTGCACCTTGTTGCCCCCTGATAAAAGACTTTTAAGTACTTCTTTCAGGCAGCCAAAAAAGCATTCCTGCAATGTTAATTTCATGTCAGATTCTGGTATTCCCAACGACTGTGATATACCTACATGCTTGTAGGGTTCAGTGGCAGACAGAGATCTGAGTTTTGTTGAATCTGAAAGCTCTCTTCCTTTCGATTTTAGTATCACGCCTTTCTTTACATGCATGAGTGCACACTTGTCTACACCAAATTTCATCTTGATAGAATTACTAAAGTTTTCCGTCACTTTTAGTAACGCTGTAATTTAGTGGGTAGTAGTTTCAAATCATCCATATGAAGAAAGTGAGACATAAATATATTTTAAAAATACTAATACTAAATAATACTATTGAAATTTAGCTCGCTCGATCTTTATTAGTACATCGTTT